CGTAGCTCTGGTGGGCAGTGATGAGAAAATCACAAAAGACACAAAAAGGAAGTGTCAAATTTGCTTTGTCCTCCAATCAAAGCAGCTGTTTGACTGGGTGGTGCCAACGTCTGAGGTGGGAAAGGCTCATCTTCTACAGGATGCTTTGTTAATGAGGAGGTGGGTTCCTCGTGGGGAACATTTGGCTTGTGGGTTATTGTTAAAGGTGGTATTCTGCTCATTTTCAGGTTCATAATCTTATTTAAAGGTTGTACCAGAGCAGGTTTACATGGTTTCATTTTCAAAAAACACCATATTCTTTGTCACATTGCTGCAGCTCCTGTTTTCAGCCTGTGTTGAAGGCTTCGTTTTAGCTATGGAGTGATACATTTTGTCTCTACATGATCTTTGTTGGGAGTTGCACATGCTCAGTTCCTAGTTAAGGTCTACTAGCCAATCAGAAGCAGAGTAGGGCGGGTCAGCGAGAAGCCGGTAAACAGCTCGGGTTCAGCCGTACGTGTTGCCGACCAGCTCGGCAACACGGACTGTAGCGAGAGTTTCAGAGCGGTGAGTTATTAATCTGTATCCATAAAGTTTTAACTGAGCTCTGTCTCTACATCACAGGAACAACTTTATGTCCACTGACTGCCTGGAGGGCAGCTAGTGTTTGGAAGGGAGAGGAGAGCTGAGTGCTGCAGCTCGCTGTTTCTGAGGGCGTGTCGGAGTCGCCGCTTGGCGAGCGCTATATGAGGCGCGTTTAGCTTTCATCCCTGTGATGTCACAGGGATGAAAAGGAAGCGGCTGGACTACAAACGAGCTGTTTTCAGTTCAGAGCAGAGTTTTCTGTGGGAGATGGGAACTCCCTTTGGGCTTTTTCACTTTGCAAACCTGTTACATGCACAAAAAAGGTATAAACTCAATAAAGGAGAGGGGAAAAGCTAAAAAGCAGAATACCACCTCTTATAGACAGGCAGCCCTTTGAACGCCTCATAATTAGGTGCGTTTGACTTCATGCGGCCCTTCACGCTGCCTTGATGTGATGCATGCTGTTTGTCCGACTTTCACCGGTGCTTCATCGTGTCACATGACATTACTTACATGACATGACATGCTCCACTTACAAACCGGATTAAACCTGAGGCGAAGTTCACTTGGAGTGGCAGGGGGAGGTGGGGGACTCCTTGCCGGGGAATTTCAGGTCTCAGTTGTCAAAACGTCATCTATTGTGACATACACAGTACAATGTTAACCCCTCCGAAGTACCACGGAGACCAACTCCAATTCTAAATAACTGCCTTGATCAAGGGCCCTTTAATTAACCCTCAAACATGGGGAGATGACCGAGGTTCGAACCCAGAGCCTTCTTGCTGTGAGGCCACAGTGTTGCATTGTGATTTTCAGAATCAGACGAACTTTATTCAATCCAGAGGGGAAATAAATTTTTTATTCACAGTTGCTCACATAACAAGGCATTAAAGATATAGATAGAAAAATAATAATAATATAACATATAGAAAAAAAATAGAATATAAAAAATATAAATTTAAAATATAGAAAATATATACATATAAAATAAAGAAATAGAATATAAAAAATAATAATATAAAATATATAATAAATAAATATTAAATAGATATAGAATAATAAATATAAATAGAATTAAAAAATAATAATAATATAATTAATATTAATAATATAAAATAGAAGTGTGTAGAATTATGTACAGTATACCACAGTTTGTGACAGAAGTGTGATGAATAATAACTCACACAGGATCATGTATGATATGTTTTAGAAACACTGATGAGTGATATTTAAGTGAATGAACAAATCAACTAACTGGATGTTTTTATTTTGAAAACGTTAACCGGAAGTCTCGTGCTGAGTGTCGCGGGATTGACCAGCAGTCACTCAGCGGACTCTCCGTCTCTGTCCATCCCGCAGCAGCTCGCTGCGCCCCGACAGGATCAGCTGCGCGGACTGAACCGAAGTGAGCCGAACCGGGAACAGGAGCCGTTCCGACCTCAGTCTGATCTGCGGGGACTCTGCAGCCGCGCGTCCGCCTGTATGGAGCCTCAGGGCGGCCCGAGGCGGAGGATCGTCCCGCTGCTGGTTCTGCTGCTCTGCTGCTCCGCCGCTCCGGGTCGCGCCGAGAGGGTGAGTGAGAGACACGGGTCCGAGTAACGATGTGAGGGGGTCCAGGTTTAATCTGGAGGGTGAGTTTCCCCTGCTGCTGAGCCCGGAGGAGGGTCTTTTATTGTGAAAACCTGCAAGCATTTAGAAGAAATGTTTATTGTTTACTTTTTTTTTAATTTCAGTGTAAAAATCAGTTAATCTGAATTTATGACTTTCATTCTGCATCACTGATCGCGTCATCACGTCCTGTCATCGGGTCATCAGGTCTGATTGGCTGTCACTTTCAATTAACTTTATTAGTAGTATTGCTGTACTGTTACTACTAATAAAGTACTTTTCTTTGACTCCATCATCGTGTGTTATGGTCGAGATGTTGTTTATGACGTGGGTGCTGACGTCACGTGATCACAGAGCCGCTCATGCGTAATATAGCATATATATATATATATATATACAGACAGAATATCAGAATATAACAAAGTAGAACTGCAGGATTTTAAAAGGAAGATCCACAGTTCTGTTCTGTAAAATTAAATTATTACTGTTGTTACTTTTATTGATATTTGTATTATTACCATTAATATCAATAACATCATCTGTGGAACTCACATTGTTCTGTTGTTTGTTCTCCTTCCTCAACAACTCTTTTACCCAGAGTGCCGCTCTTCAGTCTGTGTGTGTGTGTGTGTGTGTGTGTGTGTGTGTGTGTGTGTGTGGTCAGTAATAACAGCAGATCAGGACAAAAGGCTGAAACAGAAAACAGACCAACTGGTCTTGGGAAATTCAGGTCTCTTTGAGTTCTGGTCTTGGTTAGTTGAGGTTTCTATCTGTTCTGGTCTCTGTGAGTTCTGGTCTGCAGCGGAAACGAGCCGCCTTTATCCTGACTGACAGGTCGCCGTGGTAGTGACTTGTCAATCAGCTTGTAGCCCCGCCCTAAAGCCTCCCCTGCTTCCTGGTCTCTGTTCCTCTAAATGAACATCATGCTGTGTTGAAGAAGACTTGAAACTAGAGACTGAGACCATAAACTCATCAGGAAAGTGTTTACTGAGGGAATAAATCAGCTGACAAGTAGAAACATTTTTTCACAGACTTCTAGACAATCACACTTCTTTCTGCAGCCGCTGGAGTCGCCCCCTGCTGGCTGCTGGAGAGGACGCAGGTTTAAGTCGCTTCAGCTCTGCAGACCTGGAGGTTCCTGCTTGGTGTGTTCATCACTGTGATCCAGACTGAAATCTCTCTATTGGATGAACAGCACGAGACACGTTTCATCGACCGCCATCGTCGGGTTTCAGCCTTCTGACACCCGGCTGTCGGTCATGTGACCCCGCAGGCCGCCGCCATCGTCCCACGAGAGTCTGTCATCCATTTTACGACGTGTATCTGGTGTTTCATCAGCAGGTTTTCCTGCGGAAATCAAAGAATGTGAAAAGAATGTCAGACAGGAAATAAAACCTGTCTGTCTGTCCTGAGCAGTCAGACGGTCTCCGTCTGTTTGTTTTAGCTGGTGTGTTTTCTGTTTCAGCCTTTTGTCCTGGTCTGCTGTTATTACTGACCACCCCAACACTCTCTCTCTCTCTCTCTCTCTCTCTCTCTCTGTCTCTCTGGTATGATCTGCTGAGCTGCAGTGAAAAAGGAAAACCAACGACTCTCCGACTGAAAACATTTAAAGGATTTCGTCTCCTTTCCAAACGTTTAAACTCGTTTTAAACTTTTAATTCAATTCAATTTTATTTATATAGCGCCAAATCACAACAACAGTTATCTCACAGCGCTTTTCATAAAGAGCAGGTCTAGACCGTACTCTATGATGATATTTACAGAAGAACAGTTCCCACCAAGAGCAGCACTAGGAGACAGAGGCAAGGAAAAACTTCCTTTAAGAGGCAGAAACCTCGAGCAGAACCATGGCTCAGGGTGGGCGGCCATCTGCCTCCACCGGTTGGGGTGAAGGAGAGAGAGAGAGAGAGAGAGAGAGGGAGAGAGAGAGAGAGGGAGAGAGGGAGAGGGCAGGAGAGAAAAAGAGAGGGATGTAAGGAGAGAGAGAGGAGCCTACACAATATCCACACAGAGGTACAGACAGTAAAGGTGATGTTGCTATAGACTAAATGAAAAATGGTACAGATATTTATAGTAGTGTTAATGGTAACAGTCGTAATGTTAATGATTATAATAACAATAATAATAATAGGACTAGCAACAATAGTGGTTGCAGCAGAGGGTGTCGAGCAGGAACACGGGGGCAGCAGGTGACCCGCAACCACAGATCCAGACTCCACAGCTCCAGAGCCAGAAACACCTGCAGGAAGTGATAGGAGGAGAGAGGAGAGGGACGAGAAAGCACAAGACTACCAGAAAGGGGAGAAGTTGTGTTAGTAACATGCAATAATGGGATGAGGTTGCATACAGAGGGAGAGAAAGTAGAGGAGAGAGGAGCTCAGACTGACTCAAACTGGCTCCGACTCTCAAACTGGCTTAGACTGACTCAGACAGACTCAGACTGACTAAGACAGACTCAGACTGACTTAAACTGACTCAAACTGACTCAAACTGACTAAGACAGACTCAGACAGACTCAGACAGACTCAGACAGACTCAAACTGGCTCAGACGGACTCAGACGAACTCAGACAGACTCAAACTGGCTCAGACTGACTCAGAATGACTCAGACAGACTCAGACAGACTCAAACTGGCTCAGACAGACTCAGACAGACTCAGACAGACTCAAACTGGCTCAGACAGACTCAGACAGACTCAAACTGGCTCAGACAGACTCAGACAGACTCAAACTGGCTCAGACAGACTCAAACTGGCTCAGACAGACTCAGACAGACTCAAACTGGCTCAGACGGACTCAGACGAACTCAGACAGACTCAAACTGGCTCAGACGGACTCAGACGGACTCAAACTGGCTCAGACTGACTCAGAATGACTCAGACAGACTCAAACTGGCTCAAACTGGCTCAGACAGACTCAAACTGGCTCAGACGGACTCAAACTGGCTCAGACGGACTCAGACAGACTCAGACAGACTCAAACTGGCTCAGACAGACTCAGACAGACTCAAACTGGCTCAAACGGACTCAAACTGGCTCAGACTGACTCAGAATGACTCAGACAGACTCAAACTGGCTCAGACAGACTCAGACAGACTCAGACAGACTCAAATTGGCTCAGACAGACTCAGACAGACTCAAACTGGCTCAGACGGACTCAAACTGGCTCAGACTGACTCAGAATGACTCAGACTGACTCAGAATGACTCAGACAGACTCAAACTGGCTCAGACTGACTCGGACTGACTAAGACAGACTCAGACTGGCTCAGACTCTCAAACTGGCTTGGACTGACTCAGACAGACTCAGACAGACTCAGACTGGCTCAAACTGGCTTAGACTCTCAAACTGGCTTAGACTCTCAGACTGTCAGACAGACTCAGACTGGCTCAGACTCTCAAACTGGCTCAGACTGGCTCAGACTGGCTCAGACTCAGACTCAGACTGGCTCAGACTGGCTCAGACTCTCAGACTGGCTCAGACTCTCAGACTGTCAGACTGGCTGACTCACTTTGATAGTTTTCCATCTTTGTTGAACCAGAGTTTTATGGGAAAGCAATTAAAGGCCCGTCCCACATAAAGGCAGGATGAGTTCAGTAAAGCCAATAAAAGCTCAAGCTACTAATGGAGGTTTTACAGGACACGCATAAATCCCAAGTTACCAAACACATTAACATATTTCTGCAGCTGTGGCTCCGGAGGTTCAGCAGGCCGTCCTCTAACAAACAAACTGAACTGCTCACCTGCCTGACGTGTGAAAAGGTGAAAGGCGCTCTGAGTAAAAGAGTTGTTGAGGAACGAGAACACGCTGCAGCACAATGTGATTTCCACATGGTAACAATACAAATATAAGAGGAGAAGATCGGTAATCATGTTATATTGCTGATGTATTCATGTCTAATTAACATTTTACTGTCAGTAGCTTTTCATAATTAATGAATAAGACACATGAAACATAATGCATGATGTTTTATAGGTTCAAATGTTGCCAGGGTGCAATTCAGAATATTTCAGTTGTTGTTATCTGACACCCGAAGAGATTTTAAACGTTGCAGGAAAGAGAGTTTCTTGGGTAAAACAATGTTCAGCAAAATAAATGTTTATCTTCCTACATCACAGATGTCGTTCTGCCCTTCCAGAGTAAAGTTTGTACGGCAGGTCATGAGGGTCAATCCTGACGTCTGTACAGAGACAAATAAAAATAATCTGATTGTCGCTGAGACACAGAGAGTCTGCAGGTTCGTCTCTCTCTCTCTGTCTGAAACACCTGAACCCTCACAGTACAGTTAAATGTAGAACTTTACCCAGGATGCCCCGCTGGACGTGTCGAGGCATCGAGCATCCTGCGGGATGTGAGACAGGAATGAAGATAAGGGCGACATCAGAGCTTCATCTGCCTGTCTGTCTGCTGGGAGAGCACTGTTACACCTGCAGGATACACGAAGGTCTTTTTAAACCCACAGAAACACGTCTGAGAGATAAAGATGGACGGCGGGCTTCAGCTGGGACTGACGTTCAGCTCGGTTACACCTGCAGGAGGCATGATGGCGTTTGGGTTTAAACCCCCAGATTCTGTCTGACTGATAGAAAGAGAAACATCAGATACCGCTGTTCACTTCCTGTTTCAAACCCACAGCCAGCACAGGTTTTTTTTTTCACTAACATTAAGCTTCATAGTTATTGTTGTAACCATGAAGACGAATATTCAATATCTGTACTGTATTTTTCGCTTTCACTCTGCCCTTTTTAAAAGTGAACCAGAATCTATGAACAAAACCACATCTGTGCTGATTAAGAGTGTGACGAGACACTTAACACACGAGAAATCAGTAATACTGAACTAAACGAACATTTTGAGCATTAAACGCTTTATTTCCTGCATTCTGATGATTTTTTTCTGCACCACTTTATGATTAAAATGTTTTTATTTATGTAGAGAGAGAAACAGAAAATTCAAGTGGCAGGTGATAATTCACACTCAACAGTCGAACTCTACCAGAACATAAGAAGTCAAATGCTGTCAAGTCCGAGACGAGACCAAGGCCCAATCCCAATGTCCCCCCTAAGCCCTGAACCCTCACAGACTTTACCGACGTCACTTGGAAAGTGAAAATGCAGTAAACAGGAACGGGACAGCCCTTTACCACATTGTCACGTTACCTTTACGACGCTGAAACACGTTGCACACTTTTTATTTTATGTTTTTGCCTGATTTTTAAGTCCTGCTGGCTCTAAATGAGCTAAATGTAAATATATATTTGTCAATAATCATTAAACAGCTCACACAGCATCATTAAGCAAAAACTAAAATAAATAGTTGAATAAACTCAGTGTGTAATAAGGTGACTGCGTTCCTCTGACTTCATGTGTTCTATGCAGCATCTTAAGTTAAGAAAACTTTCAACAATGTTAACATCAGCGTAGGTGTTGATGCTTGTTTGTTTACTGTTTTCTTCCTCTCTTATAACCCGAATTTGCCATGATACTTTTCTCTTCTTCTGGGCTTCGCCTGGTAACCCCCGTGTTTCACATCATACCGCTATGAACTGTGGGAAATCCCCTTAGCCAAAGTCGTAGCCTTACGAAAGGGTCTATAAAGGGCTCAAAATGTCCGCGAGAGAGCCCTCGCGCACTTGACCATTTGACAGTGGGACGGCCCTAAGCCCTCACGGACTTCCCGGGAACGCACCTCAAAGTCTGTGAGTCTGTGAGGGTGGACGTTGGGATTGGGCCCAAGGCCATTAAGACCGGTCTCGAGTACTACAACACTACCAGTTCCTACCACTTCCTGTCTCTATCCCCCCTTACATACAACCATGTAACCATCACTGCCACCCAGTGTCCAAAATAAAATATCATGCCAACAAGAAACATAAATGGCTCCTACATTTGCTAAAGATAAAAAGTCAACCTTACCTTCAGATGTTAACTTAAACTGCCTTTTTTTAACGTTAGAGAAACACAATGCCCAGGTGGCTGTGGCTCAGTAGAGCGGGTTGCCCACTAATCTGAAGATTGGTGGTTCAATCCCCAACTCCTCCAGGCTGCATGTCAAAATAGGGGTGGGAATCACAGGGTACCACACGCTAATATTGCAATAATTGATATATCGCTTGACAATCCTAAAGTGATACATCACGATATCTGTTTAACTATTAATACAAAATGCCCGTGAAAAGGTTTTCTCCATTTATTTGCTGCAAATCCAAACTGTTAGAAAACAGCACAATTCTGCTCAGTCTGTAAATAAAACTATTATTATCAAAACATTTATTTATAAAAGGCACGTAAAATGCAAATTCACTGAATTCTTACTGCAAATACAAATGGCTGTGTACCACCTGAGTCTAATCTGTACATCACATTATATTAATAACTGTTCGGTGTTGTGCTGCCCTCTCTCTTCCTACCGATAGCTGTATTTATATTTTTAGGCCACTGGGAATTTTGGGTTTGAGTTTTGACCCTTTGTCGTTTGCTGTAGCTGGTCTTAGAGGGTTGGGGTTAGCCAGTGAAATTAGCAGCTCTTTTTTATTTCACACAGAGCTCAGGAAACATGTACTTTAAGTATTTGCACAGAGCGTCACTCAGGATGTTCAGCATGTGAAGCAAAATGTGGCAGTTTATATTGTATTTTCGCTATTGCGATGCTAATGTCCGTTAGCACGTTAATGGAGATTCCATTAATTGTTAGCATTGAGCTAACCGTCGAAGCGCTATTTTTTGTTAATATTATGTATCGATATGATGGGCTGGAATATCAATATAGTGTCATGGAAAAAATTATATATTGCCGTATAGATTTATTGTCACACCCCTAAGGTCAAAGTGTCCTTAGGCAAGATACTGAACCCTGACTTGCCCCCGATGGCTGTTCCATCAGACCGTTCTCATCTCAGGGCGTCCAGTACCAACGCTTATAGAGTTATTTGACGCTAAAGGTACCTTTCAGCGTTACCTGATGCATCTGTATGCCGTCTCGCACAGACGGGAAGTGCTAGCTAGCTATGTTCGTGTTAAAGGTGTTGACAGCCCCCTACCCTCACCATAACCATCAGAAATGTAAGTGCCTAAACCTAAGTCACTGACTTTATGCATGTCGACCGGCTAACCCTACAGCTGTGTTAGCAGGTAGCCTCCTTCATGTTGCTGTGACGTGTCGTTTCGTACGGACGCTGAAGGGAACCTTTAGTGTCAAATAATTACGCTTTGTCACGCTGTCTGAAAGCGTCAGTAATGACGCACTGAGATGATGACGCGTTGGTTCCATCTGTGTATGGACGTGTGTCAATGTTAGTTTCTGTTTGAGCACTTTGGCTGAATGAATGTGTGAATGAATGTGTGTGAATGCGATGTAGCACTTTGAGTGGGCAGAACAGTGTATTTACATGCCACAAACTCGACTTAGCAGCTGTTACATTCACGATTTTGGATCATTAAGAAAACGTGGCCAATCTTTTGGATTATTTCATATTTATAAGTTATATTAATTTTCCTTTGTGTGTTTCACTTGGTAATATTTTATGTTTGTCTCAAACCATAAGAAATGGGCTTAGTCATGATGACGTCACCTGTTGGCTTGTGGACTGCCGTCTTGAAGCCTCGAGTTTGGCCGATAGGGCGCCGCCATTTTTTGCAGTTTTTGCAACCAGGAAGTGCCCAGAAGTGACGATACGGCGGAGCGACGTGGGTACGAGTCACTCTAGCCTGATTGACAGGTCGCCATGGTAACGACTTGTCAATCCTGTCCTGAAACATAATCTGCTTTGTGGTCTATTTAAAAATAAACAGGACCATAATTTACTAAATGAACATCATGCTGTGTTGAAGAAGACTTGAAACTAGCGACTGAGACCATAAACTCATCAGGAAAGTGTTTACTGAGGGAATAAATCAGCTGACAAGTAGAAACATTTTCTCACAGACTTCTATACAATCAGACTTCTTTCTGCAGCCAGAAGAGTCGCCCCCTGCTGGCTGTTCGATAGAATGCAGGTTTCAGGGACTTCTGCGTTCGCATCAGATCGCTGACCGGAAGCTTCCAGCTTGTGTCAGACAGATGTCTTCAGTGTGTATTTAGCTAATTAACCTGTCTAGCTGTGCTCCATTAGTTTGTCTTGTTAACTCAGAGCTATTGAAGTGCCATAAAATGCAGCTAAGTGTAGTAAAAAGGAGGTGAGAGAACCTATCGGCACATGCTGCGGTAAAAAAAGGGTCAGCCAAGCAGGACATGGGACAACAGTTTTCCGACCGTCGTGTCGTGTAGCCAATAGCAATAGGACATTTTGAAGTTACCTTTATGTAAGTAATTTTGATAGAACACAGGATTTTTTCTTCTTACATCTGCCTTCACTGGATTATACAGTTTTTCCCTCTTCCATAGCGGCAAAAGAAGTTTTTAAAGTTGCCACCACAGAATCAGTATGTTGTTTATATCTTAAGTTACTTCTTCTGTATTTAAATTGCATCACGTTTCTTTTTCCTTCCACAAAATATTTAATTTCTTAGTTAACATTTATTTTTGCAAGATATTTTTCAGAACATTTTTAACAAATTATGCTGTTAAAAAGTGACCGGGACAAAATCAGCCTCTTCAGAGAGTGGTGTGGACGTGTCCCCCTGCGTCCCCACGTAGGTGTAACTAGTCGTGTTTCCATCCGATTGTCATGCGAATTTTAAGCGTACTTTTGAAATGTTGCGCGTTTCGAGTGAATAAACCAGGTTACGGCGAGCGTAGTTACGTCAGCAGTTGACGTTACACATGGCTGTAATAAACAAGACGTCTGGGTTCCAAACCAGAAACAAAACCCATTTGCATGAACCTGAGGGCCACTGATCTGAGAAAAACGGAGAGAGGTCCTCAGGAATGTGTTTCAAGCGGGCAAGTTGCTGCCAGCCATGTCTCCGAGCATTATGGGAATATCCGGTGTTCTGCAGAGTTCTGCATGCACCTCCAGATAACACTTTTAAACACTATAATATCCTCTGTGGGGTTCATCAACGGTGATAAACGAATCAAAGTATTTATTTTATGAACGTTTAGAGTTAATATTTTATTACATTCAGCAGAAGCAGCGTTCACTGAGATTCAGCAGCAACATGCGGTGAGAACCTGTTAAAGGATCTGAGAAGGACCTTTTAAGAGGTGAATGCATCATTCAGCAGAACAGCTGATGAAGGCTTCCTGCCCAGATCTGCATCCACCTCTTTTCTTAGCACGAATGAGCGTCACTGGCCGCGAGGCGCAGGAAATTCTCTGCAGGCGTGCAGAACTCTGCACAACCGGGACCGGTCCGGGGTCGAGTCTCTGTCATGAAGAACCCACAGGAACGTATAACTTAAACTGAACCTCTTGTCTTCTGTCTCCGCAGGTGTGTCACTGCAGCGGGAAGTCCTTCTGTCACTGTGACGGGGTCAAAGGTCAAAAGGTGAGGAGGTCTCAGCCTGGGACACAGGTGCTGTCAGAACAGGAAGTGAAGCCGTCCTTCACTGCTTTATGTTCCATCGATCTTTGAGTCTAGAATATTAACTGTAAAATGAAAATGTGTTTTTCTTTTAACCTAAAGTAAAATGTTTGCAGCACTTTCTTTCAGCCTTCAGTGGCGTCTGCAGCCTTCCTCTCGGGCTGCAGGCACCACCTCCTGAGAGGCGAAACCCGGGGCTGGAAAGTCCAGAGAGCACTGGCGTCTGGGTGATTACTAAAAGTGACCGGGAAGGGCACGGCGACATTTCTATCACCTGCCGTCATAAGTTATCTGATTTGTGTCTGATGCGTCTCAGGTGTGGCACCCGAGACCACCCAGGTGTGAACTCTCTGATCTCAGGTGTGTTCAGCAGGAGCATAAAGGCTGGTTCCTCTCCGCTGAACATGAAACGTCCATCTGTTCATTCAGGAACCTGAATGCATCTGGACCTCAGCCAGAATCTGTGCACACCTGAGTTTACCTGTGTGGACAGCAGGTGAACTGACCCGGGATCTGTTCTACGCCTCATTAGATCTGTTTTCCTCCTCCGCAGGGTGAAGCTGGGTATCTTGGATACGACGGACTTCCTGGAGTTACTGGTTACCCTGGCAATGAGGGCCACCAGGGCCCACCTGGAGAAAAGGTAACAGCCTCTGAACTGAGCGCAGCAGACAGATTATTAATATTATTTTATTCTCATCATTGTTAAAGAACCTTGATTCTGCATGCCATGCAGCGTTGCGTTTTGTTACACTTTGCGCACACATCACTGCAGATTATATGACGTGGTGGATTGGCCGTCATTAGCTACGGGCAGACAGCTACGTTTGTGGATTTTAATTTATAAGGAACTCGTTTGCAAATGACCACATTAGATTAATAGCCGCCTCAGCTTTGCGGTCAGTAGTCGTCGTACCCGGTCCAGCAGGCTGCTGTTTTTAAAAGTTCCCTGGGTGACTTCAGTGTTGGGAAAGACCGCCTTCTCATGCTGTGCGCCATTGACTTGATTTTATCTCAGTGGGTCTTTTCCCCTGGTGAAATAAAGGTTAAATAAATCTACAGTAGCCCAAACGGCTCTACAGACCACGTTTAATTACTACGTGGAATAGGCTATATGCAGGGCTCGACATTAACACCCGCCAACCCGCCAAATGCGGGTGGATTTCGGCCATCAGTCACTCCGAGTAGCCACTTTGGTGTGTTGAAAAACTGTAGTCTTGTCAAAAGACTGAAATTACAAACAAATTGCAATGTGACACTATTGGAGCTTTTTTGCTCACCAGCCAATGTGGCTAGTGGTTTTCCAAAGTTACTAGTCACACAGCATTTTCACTAGCCACATTTTTGTTGTTTACGTTTTATACGATTAGTAAGTTGACAGTGGCGTGCTAACATTTACTAACTAATTTACTCATCATTAGCTCTGATGGGGTTGTGTGTAAAGCTCCTTTTTTTGAAAACATACAGTCTATTAAGATAAACAAATTAAAATAGCAGCTTCTTATTATTATTATATTAAGATATAATAAAACTTCTGCATGGGTGTAAAAGATTAGTTCACAAGATAAAAACTGCATCTGCCTCTCCTCAGAGCTCTGACTGGATTTATGTTTGTCATCATGAAGCTGTGGTTGCTCTGAGTAACTGGAGAGTGTCCAGGTCTTTTTTCTAGATTATTCCCACACAGACGCGTCTTCTGCTTTCCTATGGCAGGACAACTTTTATTAAAACATAGTTCTATATTTTAATAATCGACTCTGTGCGGTAGTTGTGACAGGACGATTTGAGTAGTAACACCACGTCCCTTAATCATGAATATATCTGTATTTTACAGCATTTAACGGCACTTTCCTCCTGCCTTTCTCTGTCTCAGCTCTCCCTTTTCTCTTTCTGCTGTGCATTTCTTCTCCACACTGCTCGGCCACGTGTTGATGTGTGCGTGCGACCAGTCGTGTGTGACGACAGAGATCACGCCATCGGGTTAAAAGCAGGCGGGAGGCTGACGGTCTGCAGGTCTGAGGGACTGTGGCCGCCCTGTGACACATGCAACTTTTACAAAAGTCTGGATGTCATATCTGACATCTTTATTTCATCTGACATAGCCTGTTGTGTGGATTCTCGTGATATTAACAAAGCTCGCTTTGTCATGGCTGCCGCTGGTTAAGTTGATAATTAACAGCATGAGCTTCTTGTTTACAGTGTCGTCGAATAGTAGCGCGTAAGGCAAAAGGCTTCACTAATGGACCAATGAGCAAACACTACGTGCAGGTAGTACTCATGGGAGTTGTAGTGTCAAAATCCCCTTTTCCACCGCACGGTACCAGCTCGCCTCGACTCTGTTCGGTTTTCCACTGTGGGAAAGTTGTACCTGTAACTGCTTTCAGGTACTTTTTTTCATATCACCTCCGTCGAAACCTTTTAACTTAATGTCACGCCCTGAATACGTACAGAGAATAACAACAATAACGTTAGTAGTTGTCTGGTTTATTAGAAGTAATTAGAGAAGTGAAATTTGGACAAATAGAGGACCACGCGTGTTATTTAGTTCAGCGCCGAGAGCGTCGGCCACCGTAGCTTGACTGATGGTGCGTTCATGTGATGTCGGAATAATCTGAATTTGTTTCCCACTTTTAATCTTTACAGCAGAGGAATAAAGTGTAGGACATAAATAAGTTTACATAACAGTAAACAAACATATAAGAAGACACAAATGATAAAAACTTAAATAGCTGAGTCCCAAACATCCGCCAGGTGTGGGAACACATTTAGACAAATAAATGCAGGTCCCCAATGCCTGGTCTGGTTTTTATAGAAGTTCTTTGGATGTATAAAACCTCTTAAACCCCGCGGGGTCGCCGCTTTAGCTGCTTCTAAGCTGCTTCTAAGCTGCTTAGATTGTTAATACAAATATTAATGTTTAAACGTATGATCAATATGTCAGTATGGACATGCTGCACGTCGTTAGATCGGTTAGATTCTCCACAATACCACTGTTAAGTTCATTTAACGGAAACAACAAGACCCAAAGTCTAATTCTTCTAGATTTACCGGTGTAACCTGTCTGGTACAAGAGAGGAAAAGGGGAAAAAAGTGCTGACTCCCGTTACCTTTGAAGCGCTCGTTCAGTCCGAATGTGTCCGTTCCTGATTATTTATCTTCCTTTAGTCTGTAAGGGTCCACCCATCTACAGCTTTTCAGAAAAATTTAGCCAAATTGTGAATCCTGTCATGTGAAGTCCGCCTGTCCCAAATAAAGTCAATTCAGTGATATTAGCAAATAATAGCCCGGCTATTATTCAGAGTTTTACGGTAATGGACAGGGCAGATCTGTTTCTTCTGTAGTTACATTGCATTTCATGTTTTCCTGTTGTGCAAGTAAACCTTTCTCATAGAATTTTTATTTGTTATGAAACATTTCTTGCTGCTAATTTTCAGAAAACTTTTAGCAAATGCTTTCAAAAAGTGGTGGGGACATGTCCTCAGCGTCTCCAGTGTGAATGACACTTATGGAGGGAATCAACTGAGGGCATTGGTTTTCCTATAATCTTGGATGCTTTGTTGACAGTCTGCTGTAGTTTTCTTTGGCTGTCCGTGCTACCATACCATAGAGTGAATTAAATGTCTGCGTGTTGTTTATATGCTCTGATAATGATAATCCTACACATCTTTGTAGCAGCGTCCGTGTTGATTAAGAGTTAAGAGCACATGAACACACACTGAAGTCTTAAGATCAACTTCACAACTCAGGAAATGGGTCCATCTGAGGAGCACGTGAACGCACAGTGAGCTGCTGGCTGCAATTCGCAACCCTAACCACTAGATGTCACTAAAACTCCCACGCTGATGCTTTAAACAGATGGCGGAGTTCCTCAGGGTTCTCTCTTAGGGACTCTTATCATTTTGAAAACCTTGAGACAATTAATACTTATTAAGTTAAATATGCACATTGCAAGGTTGTAATTTCAACAGCTTGCTCATTTATGAATATATTAACATCAAACCACCTCAGCATTTTTTTTTAGCAGTTGTGTATGCGCCGCAGTCAGTCCGAGCGCTGCGTTTCCGCCTTTTGCATTCCATCGGTATTACGTTGTCGATTGGTTTTTGGATGGTGTTTTTTTTGGTGTTTGCTGGTTGGGTTGAGGTGTTCTGTGTTCTCGTTGCGGTGCATCTGGGAGTCCATTTTTTTCTCCCACCCCTATTGGCTACTGGGGTTCTTGCTTGCATGTCGCTGGGGTCGGCTGTGGCGTCCCACTCTCACTAACAGCTATTTATTAAAGCCAGTCAACTCTGAAAACACGTACACTTTGAATCAACCTGACGGCAGCTGATCAGGTTTCAGAGCAGAAGGTAAAGGTGTGCTTGTCAGCACGGCAGAGAAGCCGACTGTGACGGCTGGTTCGATACACAAAGTTTAGTACTTGACTTGATCGCCGGGAGTTGGGAGTCGCACAACAGAGACGTTGTCCCGTCACGCATGTGTTTGTAAAACACACTTTAGCTACGGCATCATTTATGAGTTTTTATAGCTCTACCCTCCGTCCGTCCAGACTGAAGAGGACACGTAGGACAAACAGAATCTGCTGCTCTCAGCCTGTATCAACATCTGTAGGGATGTTTTCCACTGAATATTATTAATATAAATGTAGGCAATCTCTGCAGAAATCCTCGATATGACTATTCTTTTTTTGTCTTCAGGGTGAGTGGGGAGCAGCAGGAGGTCCAGGACTGAAAGGCTCTCGGGTATGACTGATGAGGATGATGATGAATCATTATTATGAACTGAATATGAAACTTTTGATTTAACCTCTTTAACTCTGTATTTTCTCTGACTTGAGCATCATTTTAGTCACATTTGGCCAGAATTGGCCCTGATAGATTGTTAAGGTCACATGAAGGTAAACATCAGTCTGTCTCTCTGTATCCTCCAGGGTCTTCCAGGAAAACCAGGTTTCCCAGGACCTCCAGGACTGCCGGTGAGAAATACTGTATAACATCCAGAGATAGATAGAGAGATTTTATAATATTTTTTTGTGATCAGGCTCTACTAAACTGATGTTTCCAGGACAGATGGCACATTTTCTCAAGTTTTAAAATCAAAACTTTATTTTAACATCACTGCTCAGTTTGAAAGCTTAAAATCAATTCAGACAGTGGAGATCAAAAAGGGTCAAATCTCCTTAAAGAGGCTTTAACTTGATATTTTTACTATAAAAGTGTGTAAAATGACAGACGACAGTGTGTTGGTGTCTCTGGTAGAGAAGCATCCGCTGAATCTTTACAGTGACTCTCAGCTAGGTTGTTTATCTGTCCGGCTGCAAAACAGTCTGCCAGTGCAGGAATATTCGGCTTGTTTTCACCGACAACCACTTCTTTCAAGACATTTTGAAGCAGGTCGTTACACTAGGAACAAAATGATCTGACTTGAAAACTTCAAATAAATTAAATCAGATTTTCTCACTGGTTCAAAAGGAAATTTCCAGACTCTGATAGGAAGGAGAGTTTCTCTTCAGCACGACCTTTGTAACTGTTGTTTACTCAGGGAATCCCCGGACACGAAGGACCAATCGGCCGACCAGGAGTCCACGGATGCAACGGGACAAAGGTAGAGATGATTCCCTGCACTATCGTATTTTACTGAAGTCCGTTTGAAGCCTTCCTGCCTGAAATCATGACTGACTTTCCTGGCAGAGGTCTGGGTGTCACGTTTTTCATTCATTTTGTTTGCTTGTTATTTGATTTAATATTTTAAAATAGCTGTGTAATGTGACCAGTTATGGACAATAAAAACAGAAGTAAAGCTGGTTTCTGCTGCATTACCTCATGTTATGGCCCCAGAAGAGGGTCTTTAGTTTTAAGACAATCAATATTTCAGTTTGTCCTTCTATGTTAATATCCAGTTAATATTCCATCACAGAAAGACTGACTGGGCTGTGTTAACCTGGTTGTGCAGGTCATTATTCTCACAAAGGCGGACAGCTGAAAGTTGTGTATCATCTACAAAGAATGAAATAAAAATAACAGAAAATGGAGAAATCGAATCAGGCCTAAGTACGTTTTATTGATGATGAAAAGAAACTACCTGTTTCATGTATTCCAGCCACAGACTGTATAAAAGAAGTGGACGTAGTCACTGTGATGTCACCCGTTGCTTTATGCACTACCGTTTTGAAGCCTCGAGTTTGGCATTTTGGCCGTCGCCATGTATTTTTTTTTTTGGAACTAGGCTCCAGATGTGACCATATTGGATGAGAGGGTGGAGCTAGCTTTTAGCAAGGTGCATCTGTAATTCACGGTAACTGGGATATTAGCTGGGATGCTAATTTTGCCTAGTGACAAAAAGGCTTTAAAACAAAATGTAGTTACTGGAAAAATGAACAGCCGTCTCCTAATAAGCTTTTTTACAAGTCGCCTCTATCCTGATTGCCTTGTCAATCACCTTGTAGCCCCGCCCTAAAGCCTCCCCTGCTTCCTGGTCTCTGTTCCTCTAAATGGGACCATAATTTACTAAATGAACATCATGCTGTGTTGAAGAAGACTTGAAACTAGCGACTGAGACCATAAACTCATCAGGAAAGTGTTTACTGAGGGAATAAATCAGCTGAGAAGTAGAAACATTTTCTCAGAGACTTCTATACAATCACACTTCTTTCTGCAGCCGCTGGAGTCGCCCCCTGCTGGCCGCTAGAGACGACGCAGGTTTAAGATGCTTCCGCATTAGCTTCACGTCTCAGACCCGGAGGTTCCTGCTTGATTTCAGTGTTATTAGTGAGGTGACTGAAGATATCTAGAGGGTTGGAAAACAACACCAGGACTATCAGGCAATATGAGAGAATACGAAACCAGAACTTTTGAGGCTTGTTTTTACTTTCAACTGCATCACAATATTAAAACAGTCTTCAGAAGCTGTTTCCAGTGAGTGTAAATTCCTTTTTAAGATCCATCTGGTGACTCTTCAGAGACAGAAATCACCTGACCTCATCCTCTCAGACACTGAATGACATATTGATCTGTGTCTTCCAGGGGGATGTTGGTTACCCAGGGTTTCCCGGGAATCCAGGACCTGTCGGCGTTACAGTAAGTCCCGCCTACTTCCTGTACAATGCAGCGAGTGAGTGCTGTGAAGACTTCCTGTTTGGAATCGCTGCAGGCTGCAGCTAAGCTAGGCTAAATAGCACCGAGACTGACTGTGTTCATGTGTTTCAGGGTCCACCAGGAGTGCGAGGTGAAAAGGTAAGAGAACACACCTGATCAGAGTCACATACTGTCAGTGGTTGAAAATAATCAAGGTGTTTTTACACTTGAGCAGCTGCTCAGCTACAAAGTAGGTTAGAGTTACAGTACATGTACTGTTGACATATTCACTATGTAAATATAAAATACTGTATGTAGTAAATGATATATGTAGTATGTAAGTAAGTTTTGTCTGTCAGAAGTCTTCTTGCCTTTTATAAGTGGTGGATGAAGTATTCAGATCCTTTACTTTAGTGAAAGTACCAATACTTCACTGCAAACACACTTTGTTACAAATACGGCATTGAAAATGTTACTCAAGTTGAAGTATAATCAGGAAAATGTATTCAAAGCAGAATGTCCCCTGTGATTATATCCTTAGATTACTATAACTAATGTAGTTTGTTGAGGTTAAACTGTTTAGTATCAGACTGTAAGTTTATTTTACTTATGGATGAATCCGCTCATAGTTTGTCCATTAACAATGAGAAGTGACGCCTTCGCAATGTTTGTTCTTAAAGTCCGAACCTCTAAACTATTAATACATAAAATAAAAAGGGAAAAAAAGATGAAATGTTTACATGAAATAGTTGCCAATTAAATTTCTGTCAATAAATAAATCGTGTCAACTTTACATGTTTAAACTGTTGGAGTTTAATTTATAAATAAACATTTATAAAGTCTTCGTGTGTAAAAATCTGATTTCGTAAAGTAACTGAAGCTGTCAGATAAATGTAGTGAAGTAAAAAGTACAACAGCTCCCTCTGAGACGGAGTACAGTCAAGTTTATTCATAAAGCACATTTAAAAAAGTTGACCAAAGTTCTGAACAAAGTTATACAGTAGAAGACAAACATTAACACCAGATAAATTAAAACAGGCCAAACAATGACATACAGCAATAACATAAAAACAAGAGCGTAGATGCCCCTAAACAGGCTCAAATGCCAAAGAATAAAATGTGTTTTAAGTCTCAATGGTGGGGGAAGAGTTCTGAAATATAAGATGGAGCCAGTCCGTGTAACGCCTGAAAAACGGTTAACGGCTCCTTTAAAATTGACTATTTGACTGGTAACGAGTGAAGAGGAGGAGATACGCTCCCTCTTCCTTTTACCTGTCAGCAATCTAGCAGCTGCATTTTGAACAAGCTGCGAGCGTCATAATGACGAGCGAGAGATGCCAGAGTACAGGGAATTGCAGTAATCAATTTGAGAGTTACGATTCGTGGGCAGAAAACAGGTTGGTTGGACCCAAACGCAGACACGGGAAACAGGCAGGTTCAGTTCAAGAGATTTATTCCAAAACTAAAAGCGAGCACACTTACAGACTGAGTCCAGAGAAATCCAGAGGCATTAAATCCAAATGAACAACGAAACAAAAATCCAAACAGGTAATCAAGCCTTCATGAGATAGGCGGGAACGTGAGCTGGGTAACAGCAGGACAAAACACTGACTGAGACAGAGCATAACACGAACAATGAACAGAAACACCAACAAGCATGGCAAGCAGATTACTGGAGGGGAACAGACATAACACAAGTTGCTGAACACAAAACATGGACCATATCAAAGTAAGTAGAAACAGATGAGAACAATAAAAAACAAACTAATCCAGACACAAGCAGACAGATACAGAACACGAACACACCAATAACAAGTAACACAGAGCAGACACGGGCAAAACAACACAGAAGAACACAGACCAGGAGAAAATACTAAGACATGAACTGAGACATCGAACTAGGAACTAAGATACGAGACAAGACAGATAAGAAGTAACTCAAAGATGCGGATGAATAATAATAATAAAGGCTACACAGAGACTAAAGCAGAATGATCAAAATCAGATTAAGTAATGAAACTGGCAGAGAACATAAATTGACATCTAGCAAACAGACAGAACTCAAGCATGATGGTACAGAAACTAATACATGAGACTGGAACAGGACTACATGACAAAGAAAAGACATAACAAAACTGAGACCTAAACAAGGCAGGCAGGCCCACAGCGTGACAGAGAGGATACAAGAGCATGCAAGACCGTCTCCAAGTCCTCTACACAGAGAATGGATTTCAGTTTTGCTCTGGTCCTTCAATGAAAAAAGCTAACTTTAACAACAGAGTTTAAGTAGAAGTAGAAAGTGGTATAAAAATAAAATACTCAAGTACAAATACCTCTAATTTGTACTTAAGTACAGTAACAGAGTGTGGAGACGGTGTCTTCTTTTGACTGTTTTTTTCTGGTTTCAGGGAGACTCGCACGTCTTTCCCGACACGCAGGCGATTAAAGGAGCAGTAGGACCACCAGGACCCGTCGGAGAAAACGTCAGTCACAGTCATGCATTCTGTCCCACCGGGGTCTCCCTCACTCTGCCGTCTGGTGCTGGTGTTTCAGTCTCTGTCCACTTTCAGACAAGAACACATGAGTCGTTTTATCCCAGCGTGCAGCGGTGACGGTGGGGAGTGTGATCCAGGCTGCTGAGGCTGCGTTCACTCTGCAGGCCTTAATGCTCAAACCAGGTTTTATTGATTGATAGTTCACATTATAGTTCAAAAGTGGCCCACATCAGACTGAAGTGGGAACTGAAAGTGACCCGCATGTTAGGAAGAAATACAACCCCAATTCCAACGTTGTGTAAAACGTAAATACAACCAGAATACAGTGATTTGCAAATCCTTTTCAACCTATGTTCAATTTAATACACCACAAAGATTTTTAATGTTCAAACTGATAAACTTTATTGTTTTTCGCCTGCAACATGTACCAAACAGCTGGGACACGGGAATGTTTACCGCTGTGTTACATCACCTTTCCTTTTAACAACAGTGAATAAGCGTTTGGGAACTGAGGACACTAACTGTTGAAGTTTGTTTGTAGCCGGAATTCTTTCCCATTCTTGCTTGATGTACAACTTCTGTTGCTCAACAGTCCGTGGTCTCCGTTGTCGTATTTTGCGCTTCATAATGCGCCACACATTTTCAGTGGGAGGCCGGTCTGGTACCCGCACTCTTTTACCACGAAGCCACGCTGTTGTAACACGTGCAGAATGTGGCTCGGCATCGTCTCGCTGAAATAAACAGGGACGTCCCTGAAAAAGACTTTGCTTGGATGGCAGCATATGTTCCCTGTAGGGGAGACCGGGGGCAATTGTAACATATTTTACATTTTCCTTAATAACTCATAAACTACTTACACTAGTACTACTCATCTTTTGATACAAGAAACACATATATGTGCACTAATTAATAATACAATTGATATATTTTCACTTATAAGAACAAGACTAAAATATTTAATTAAATGCAAGAAGTCAGAGTGTGGGGGCAATTGTAAAATGAGTCATATTAACCCACTGCATCTCAAGTAAAAGCCTAGGCTGCCTCACAGTAATTACTTTACAGCTAATAATGCTACATAAGAGTTTTTAAATGGTTCAAATAATTTTAGGTGTCAGGCTCTCTCTGTTGTGGGACCATCAACTACTTTAAGTCCACTATACAGACAAACTGACAATGAAAGGAACTTTACTTTTGCAGACTTATGCCTATATAACATTCAAACTTTCTGTTAAACACAAATAAAACACAATATTTAACACACCCTTTTTTAATATGGTTTTACATTTATATTTAGTGAAATATGTTTATTTCCAAAACAGACAAAAAAGCTGGTTACATTGGGCCGTGTGGCTTCGGGGGCAATTGTAACACAGTGTTACAATTGCCCCCAAAGTTGCAGCCATGATAAAATCTTGTAGCCACAACTATATAAGCATAGTTTGTTAGTAATTGTTAATCAATAACCTAGAGATAAAATGTATGCAAGTTTAGATTTGCAGTCATCTCAACTTTAGACACCAGAAGAAAAATACTGCACAGCCAAAAAGTTACTTTCATACCTCAAAATCCGTATTTTGTTTAAAACTTCTGCTAAGGTGAAATGATCCTGCTCCTTTTCCACAGGCAGAGAGAGAACCCTACTGAGCATGTGCAGATTACAATTACAATTGCCCCCGGTCTCCCCAATGCACCTTTCAGCATTGGTGGATTCTCAGATGTGCAAGTTCCCCCTGCCATGGGCACTAACACCCCCCCACACCATCACAGATGCTGGCTTTTGAACTTTGCGCTGATAACAATCCGGATGGTCCTTTTCCTCTTTGGCCCGGGGGACACGACGTCCATTATGTCCAAAAACAATTTGAAATGTGGCGCACTTTTCCACTTTGCGTCAGTCCATCTCAGAGAAGCCAGCGGCGTTTCTGGGTGTCGTTGATATGTAGCTTTCGCTTTAGAGTTTTAACTTGCACTTGTTGATGTAGCGACGAACTGCGGTTTCCTGAAGTGTTCCTGAGCCCGTGTGGTAATATCCTTTACACACTGATGTCGGTTTTTAATGCAGAGCCGCCTGAGAGATCGAAGGATCTGAGAGATCACGGCCATTCAATCGGCCTGCAGAGATTTCTCCTTTTGACGATATTATGGACCTTAGATGTAAATGCTATTTGTATAGCGCCTTTCTAGTCTTTTCGACTACTCAAAGCGCTTTTACACTACATCTGCATTCACCAGTCACACACATTCATACACTGAGCCTAAGTGCTCAAACGGAAACTAACATTCACACACATTCTGCTCGCGCAGTTGTTCACAAAGTGGTGAACCTCGCCCCGTCCTCGCTTCTGAATGACTGAGCCTTTTATATCCAATCATGACACTCACCTGTTTCCAGTTATTCACCTGTGGAACGTTCCAAACAGGTGTTTTTTGAGCATTCCTCAACTTGCCCAGTCTTTTGTTGCCCCTGTCGCAGCTCAAAGTGAGTGAATATTTGCAAAAAACAATAAAAAAAGTATCAGTCAGTTTGAGCATTAAATCTCTTTGCAGTGTATTAAATTAAATACAGGTTGAAAAGGATTTGCAAATGAATGTACTCTGGTTTTATTTACGTTTTACACAACGTCCCACGCAGCAGCACGCTGTCGTAGAGAAGTAAACATGGAGGCTACAGAGGTTAGCTCCGCTTAGCTCATACTTGCTAACCCCCCCGATTTTCACGGGAGACTCCTGAATTCATCGCCCTCTCACGTTTCATTGCCTTCATTACAGTTTCTGCCGCTGCAACCTGGGTCTGAAATTAACTTTTTTCACAGTGTACGAACCCCAGACACAGCGGCGGCAACCAAAGGACCTTCATTAATGACTTTTAACAAATAAACAGTATAACTTTTGAGCCCACGTAAAAGTACCATTTGTAAGCAGGTTTAAAGGAATTTGTTATTTGGCTGCCGTGCTGCAGCTCAAAGAAAGACTCTGGCTGCTGGAGAGTGTGCTCTGATTGGCTGTTTGTGTTGCAGGGGCTGAGTGGAAATCCAGGTGACCCAGGCATGCCGGGACTACCAGGACCCACCGGATATCCTGTATGCTTCAGATCCAAAGCCGTCAAACTTTATTTAAACGTTCAGAGTGATTCGATCAACTGAGAGCAGCTGCTTTTTTTTTTGGTTTTGTTTTGATTTAGGGGAGTCCAGGGCTGCAGGGGTTACAAGGAGAGAAGGTTAGTGTGCCAACAGGGCTCACCTGAGGTTTGTGTCTTCAGGTCTGTTCGGTAACTAATCAGAATCATCGCACTTTTACTCACCACTAAACAAACAAAAACAACAACAAACACTGAGCTCACAGAACAAATATGTTCACTGCAGAATCTTTGAAGGCCTGATGTTCGGTCATGTGACTTCAGTCTGCGGTCCTGATGCTGCTGGGTTTGTGTTTCAGGGTCAGGAGGGTCCCAGTCCAGTGATACCAGGTCCCAGAGGAGAGAGGGTGAGCTAACTGGTTTGGACTTAAGGCGAGACGCCACAGTCCAAAATGACGATTAGACTTCAATTTTCAGATTTCAAGTTATTACCATAAGTCTAATAAACATTATTATTTGTCTGTTTTATACTGAGGAGACGTATTTTTCTCAATATCTTTCGTATTATTTTCTCAAGAAAAGTGAATTATGATCAGAATTACTCAATGTCTCTTTCCCGTGTAGTCAATCCCTCCATATCTTTATGTAAATACCAATATACACTTAATATTTGGTAATTTCAATAAACTATGAAGGAAAAATACCAAAACAACACCACTGTATACTGTGTACCAGAAATGTCCACCCTGTTGAGCTAAAGTTAACCTTTAGTGTGAGCGTGACCTTCAGCACCAGATGAGGAATCTATAATTTTTCACAATCCGTATTTGAAATTATTTTATTTGATTGATCTTGTCAAAACTTACACGTTATGATCAAACACAGATCAAAAGCAGATGGTAAAATCACACACATACTACAAACATACAACCTTGTTTTTTTTGTTAAAAAAAAACTTAACAATTTTGATAAAAACGAGATTTGATTAAATAGATTTTGAACAGGACAATTAGATAATAATTAAATATTTAGAAATACATATGTAATCTAAGTTGAATGATCAACACTGGCGACATGGCAAAATCCCATAGTACCTCTTAAACCAAAGCTTTTAAAATGTAAATAAAACAACTTAGAAGCCAATCTCATTGTGATCATAATTAATAACAATTAAACTTAAATAAAAAAACTAATGGAACTAGTATTTGTCTAGATTTAGACTAAATACAACATGATTTGTACCGGGGACGCAAAAGGCACTGTTTAACAAAATTGAGCCAGCGGCGTTTCACTCCCCCGCTCTGCCTGGTCCTCTCCAAACACGTCGGTGACGTCCAGACAATCTCACTGCTGATTGGCTTTCGCAACATCGCGTCAAGCTAATTTCTCTCTCAGTTTGAAAAATCTGAACTCGAGCGGATGTCACGAGAAATTGCTTCTTCAGCAACGCCCGGAGCGAATATGCATCTTTGCATCTTCGCTGGCGAACATCTTTTACAGACGTTTTTTCAAAATGACATGTTTCCTGTTCGCCAGGTCGTTTTCTTGAAGGCAGTTAGATCATCCTAACTTTACACACAGTTTCTGAGGTCTCATAAGAAGACATTTACAGAGGGTTTTTAAATATACTTTAGCGTTATAATTTTATGTGGCATTTCATCTGTAAACATTTTTTTTAATCTCTGATGAAACCGTTCTGTATATGTTTGGTCATTTGTTTTTTTATCATAATAAAACAAAAAAACATCCATCTGACTCTCATCAACGTGCTGGAAAATGGATTTGTGTGCTATGAAAAATTTAAAAGATAAAAATTTGATTTAAAAAAAAAAAGCTTCTATTTATGTTTACGTTTAGCTTGTAAAGTTTCATAAGTAAAGTTGGGGGAAAAAGCCTTTTAGATCACACTCTGGATAGTAATGTGAACAGACAACTGACATTTCTAATCTGTGAAACACCATCATCACCATCATCATCATCTTCTTCTTCATCATCATCATCAGCTGTCTTTGGTTTTCAGGGTGATCGCGGCCCGCCAGGGAGGCCCGGACAGAAAGGAATCAAACTGTACGCTGAAGGACCCAAAGAACTGAAGGTCTGTCTGTCTGATAGGGTGCCAGAGATTTTCTGAGATTTTGCCATAATAAAAATTAGATGATATTTTGCCTCCTTCAAAAATGTGTTTGGAAAAGTCTAATATAGCTCTTTCACGCTACTGACATGAAGGGAAACAGGTCTTATGTATGTATTTAAAACTGAACAAAGAAACACAGACATCAAACAGAATGTGTGTTCTTTGATTATTCCGTTTCGAAACCAAATCAGAAAAACAAACAAACAAAAAAAAACATTTTTTGTTTGTTCTGTTTTAAAGCCAAAACAGAAAAATACTGATATTTAATGCGCCTACACTTGATAAACCTGCAGCAGATACCTCGCGGTGCCTGATTAAATGTAATTAAGACGAGCGTGAACATCAACATAAGTGGGTTTTTAGTTAGAAAAACAGGTTTCTAACTCACTAGCAGCTGGAACAGAAACGCTTTCCTGAGAATCCTCCGGTCTTTTAGATTTCTTCAGATGAATTCACTGATCGCTGTCAGTCCATCCGATGGTCCACAGCAACATGAACTGTTATTAGTTAAATCGGCGAGCTGGATATTAACGAATCATACACGGATTAAAAGCTTGAGGTGATTTTCGTTACCTTACAATGAGACATTTCTATCTACAGAATTCTAGTGTAGACGCTGATTAATATGTTTAATAAAAACAAAGTAGTAGCAGCAGCAGTGTCGGCTGCCATAGCTTTTCCTACGCGCTTGCAAAGTGAGTGTTGAGCGGCGACTGACCCGTTGGTCGCAATCAGGTTGCAGTTCGCAGCCCTCACCACTAGATGTCACTGAAACCTACACGCTGAACCTTTACAGTTTAAATTTAAATCGGCGACTATTTAGAGAAGGGTTTTGAGTCATTTGTTAAGAAAAAAAAGGTCGACATTCTCTGATTCCAGCTTCTGAAATGTGAATACTTTCAGGTTTCAGCCGTACTTGGCTGGTTCAGGCCTGTCGTGGTCAGCTGACTCCCAAAGCTTATCATATTCTTGCTATTCCTCACAGTGGTTAGTTCTTGAACTGCAACGGCTTCCCGACGCCGTTTGCAGATTGAAGCAACGCTGCTGGTGACCCACTTTTTTCTCCTGTTTCTTCTCTCATTTTTAACTCCAGTCATGAATTTTTCGGCATGTTTAACTCACGTGTGCTGCCTGCACGACACAGCGACCACACAGACGTGGAGTTTAGTGACGTAGCCCACTCGATAATATCTACTCACCCATCATTAAAGCAACAGTTCATTAAATATAAAGTATTATAGGTAAATAAAGTATTTCTGACTTGATGATACATATCACACACTGCTGTCTGACTGTTTCCACTGATCTTTCGGTTGTATTTCAGGGAGAACCAGGCGAAGCTGGACTAAAAGGTTGTCCTGGACTTCCTGTAAGTCAAAAGCGTCTCACATTTGGACAATCTGTCAATTCAAATTCGCATTATTGGCTTGAACATAGAGAAACAGCAAAGACTGACCCGTGTTGTTCTCTGAGCGTCAGACTGATGTGTGCGTTTGTTTTCTCCTGCAGGGTTTGCCAGGGAAACAGGGGATTAAAGGAGAGAAGGGCGGGCGAGGTGATCCTGGCTCACTGGTAAGAGAGAGAGAGACCTGACTGCTCGTTGAAGCAATGCTGGAGAAAACCAGCAAGAGACAGCAGGATCCAAATAAAATGATCAGCCGTGCTTATTTCAGGCTGTCGGGATGTAAAGAGAATTTCAATAAATACAACAAAAGATGCTTCTGAAATAAAATGCCTTCCCCGGCTTTACCAATAACATGGATCTATAATCAGAATCAGGCAGTTGGTGATTAATGTCTGAATATTATTTTATTGATTTTGTGTTTACGAGCTGATCAGAAACCTGGACCGCTGTGGTCTAACATGGCGTTTGGTTTTGTGCTTTTAGGGTAAACCCGGGAAGGATGGATTATATGGACAGCTGGGAGAAAAGGTAACATGCTAAGCTAACGGGAATGCTAACCAACTAATGCTAATGTTAGCTTAGCGATCTGCTTCATTCAAAGCGCAACTAAAAGCCAGATCTGTGTAAGTCCAAATCTGGCTGAAGAGCTCATCTGGTCTTTGTTGGAGTAGTGGAGCAGGTTCACTCCAGAACCAGAACCAAAATACATCCAGAACTGTGTAGATCCTTTGCTGTAACCCTGAACAGACGTGTTGTTGGCGCTGCACAGACCTCTGAGGCTGTGGAAATAAAATTAACTTTGGCTGTGTGTCTGCAGGGAGACCCAGGTGTTCAAGGGTACCTGGGCCCTCCAGGTATCGACGGAGCCACAGTGAGTACTGTAGGAGGTACAGGAAGTATTACTGCATTAGTACACTCAGTATTTGTCAGATTGTTTATGATGTGTGTTGTTGTGTTTTTAAAGGGAGAGAAAGGGGATCAAGGTCTTCCAGGGCTTCCTGGAGAGGTGAGTCTGAAGTGTCCACAAGTTTTTTTCTCTGTTGAGGAAAATGATTACTGACAGGAAGGATGGTCAGGCCTACCAAAATAAGAGCAGATTGATAAAAAACAAAAAGACACAAAAGCAACAACAACAACAACAACACAGGACTGTGTAAACCTTCTGTCAACCTACTCAGAGTTAACTCAGGGTAACAAACTCTGACCGCCTACACTGGAGTTAAACTACGACGGCGGATAAGATGTTGGTTAGTTGAGTCGGCGTTAACTTTGTTGGTGTGCGTTTGCATAAAAGGGGCGTGTTTTCACAACGGCGCATGCTCCCCCAGGAGAATGCACGTCGATAGACAAGTTAACGGCTAAATGTGTAATATTATTAAGATGTAAAGGTACGACTGCACATATGGTCCATTGTAATAAAAGGAGCCAGCAGAGAGAAGTGATGTGCGATACCACTTCATTCAACCTTCACAGCTAAAATAAGCCAGACGTGACTGTTTACTGTCAGCCAGAGTCAGTATTCAGTCGCAGGAAATGTGACTTCAAAGAAGCTCCTTCACAGAGCTGTAGAGCAGGCATGACTTTGACAGGCGGAAGGAAAAGTAGTTCCTACCAACCGAATAGCCTACAATTTGACCATCCTGGTGACAAAAAGATACTTATGATAAAATACACAATCTCTCCAAATGACTGAGTTTAGATATCGATCCCAGAGCAGGAAACATTGGTATCAGAAATAGATACTTTAGGATCCTCACATCTTTAGCGGAGAGGGGAGAAAATCCGAGAGGAAATTCAGCTTCCAAGATTAATCTACAAGTAAAAAACTTGAATATTCTCTGACATTATAGTCACACATTTATGAGAGAAACTTCACTTTCCAATGCTGCAACATCACACACAGACGTACGCCGTGTGTGTGTGATGCATTCATTGGAAAGTTGTGTTAAACTTCGCAATCAGATTTAGCAGTGAGGAAATACTGAGTTTAGCCCACAATCACTATCCTGCACCTCAGAGACTTTGCCCTGTCATACTCGTAAATTTCACACTTTTATCTAGAATTATTAACCCCGACCCTGGCTCCCTATTTTTTGGACGCGTAAAATAATCTAAATATGTGAAAACACTCAGGAGAATTCAGTCACAGCCTTCAGATGGGCTCCATCTCAGAAACTGTCCCATTAATTAATTAAGATCTCCTCCCTAAAGGAGCTCCCACAGCTCGGCTGCGGGGCTCGCTGTCTGAACGTGATGCTACTGTGTTCAGAATAACAAATCAGGATGAAATCCAAAAATATTTTATCAAGTCGTGTGTATTAATACTTCTCCTCAGTAACACTGAGTACAGAAGAGGTGTTTAGTCCACGTGCAGGGTAACCTCGAGTTAACCACCAACAAAACCTGCTCGGAGCAGTTTAGAGATGCGGTGTAAATTGCCATGGCAACAGACCTCGGGTAACACCTGTCCACCTTTCGTAGTGCGGGTTAATCTGGAAGTTACCTGGATAAGCCGGTTACTTCGCTTCGTAGTACAGGCCACAGGGCTGAATACGGGTAGTCTGAGTGTTCACACACTGAAAATGTTCTGATACAGGTCAGGGACCTCCCTGCGCTTCAGACAGGTATCATGTGCCAAAAAGAGGAAGGCGGGGCCAACGCATGGGGGCGGGGCTAATTGTATACTTCCTGCCTCTTGAGAACAAGCAGCAAACAGCCAGTCTTTGAACAGACTCACAGTGTCAGGAAACATTCCTGTGCACCGACCTCAAGTTCATAACACTTGCACAAAATACTTCCTTTTTTATTGCTGCATCCTTTGCACTCTGCTCCATCGCACTGTGTACATGCGTACCTGTATGTCACATCCAACACCAACATGTACATAATAATGATAATAATAATTGAACCCTTTGCACTGCACTATTTCTCAATCTGTCTATATTGTTTTTGTTTCTGTCAATAGTGTGTATATTTGTGTTCTCTTGTGTTATTGTAGTATTTTTCCATGAGTAAGCACATCGTGAACAACGTACAATCCAAAGTCAAATTCCTTGTATTTGTACACATACATGGCGAATAAATCTGATTCTGATTTTATTAGATGGTCTGGAATCACAGATTCCTGAAGGGCCAGCTCGGGGTCCCCGGGCCCCGCGGACCCCCAGGAGACCCTGGAGAACAAGGTAGTATAAAGACCAACATAAAGGGTTAAATACTGTGAAGGTTCAGACTGTTAAAGTTACAATGCTTTACATTTTTACTGTTTCAAACTCTACGTGGTCGGATGTGGATCGCCAAGTCGACTTACTGTTGACGTGGGAAGCTGTTTTGTCATGTTGTGAATGTTTTTGACTCAGGACAGTATGTTCAGGTTCTTGGACTTCAACTTTAAATGTAAAGCTGAAATAACAGATCAGCTGTATACACAGGATGTGGCCCCAACATGAAACATAAAGATGTTTAAGGTTGTCATTGTATTTATAAAATAATTGCTTCTGAAGTAAAAGAGTCAAAATAAAGGTATCAAGTTTTTTTTTGCTGAGTTTCAAATACGTCTTATTTATGACATAAGTCGTTCATTTATCTTTTTTCTTCTCAACAGTCCAGAAACAGAATGAAGAAAATAAATTCTTACAAAGATCGTAAAGATTTCTCAGAAAATGTTCCAGAATAAACAAAGGAAATATATATTTAGGATGAGCTACTCTTTAGGAATCTGGCCATGTAAACGTTCGACTCATACTTCGTGTAATCGTAAAATAAAGCTCTTCTTCTTCTATGTTCTCCTTCTTCTCTGCTTTCTTTCAGGACTCATTGGTTTTCCTGGATTTCGGGGCGTGCCAGGTACCCTCAACCTCCACTTACTGCTGCTGATGGGTTAATGATCAGATCACACTGAATAATCAATAACAATATTTACATCACAGAACTTGGAAACTATATTGTTCAGCAGGATTTATTGGATTTATTGTCATATAGTTATATTCTTTATAATGTTAAATTACATCACAGGGGCCAAATCTAGGTAGTTTTTATTTTAACTCTACATTTAACTCATGTGATTTGTTTTTGTAGAAATACTGGTTGGTTTCTGGATGACATTGGTTGTCTGTGGGAGGTTTAATATGGGTCATAGAACGTTTTTGACACGGGACCTCTGAGTGGGTTAATTTGGCCCCGAACGCACCCAAAACTCAAAATTTCAAATCTGTGTTTAAAATTGCTGTGCTGTAAATTAGATTACAAATAATTGCTCTTTTATTGTAAAAACAACAATAAATTGCTGTAATAAAAACCTGTAAAATATATCCAGTAATATACTGTAATTTCTTTTACAGTATTTAACAGCATTTCTCCAGGACATTATTATAATTAAGTTTAGGCGGAAATGGGCGTGGCCTATACAAGGACATTTAGCATGATTCCTTGAACGCGTGGATATAAGGTTTTTGATATGGGCTTTGGTATTCAGGAGTTCCGAACCCAAACGAGTTGACCTTGCTTATAGAGCCCCCTAGAGGTTGAAGTGTGCAAATTTTTGTGCCTGAGGTCCTCTCATGGGTCTGTACCTACCCTATGAGTGTTGCGTCTGTAGCACTCACCGTCTAGGCTGCAGGATGACGCATAGAATAATAAAAATAAAAACCAGTGCGATAAAAATAGGGTTCCCAGCTCCGCTGGTACTGGGAACGGTTCCCAGCCCCTCTCGGGCTTGGACCCCTAATAATAATAATAAAATAAGTATTGTAGTTTAATAGGTGACCCTGAACCGGTTTCTCTGCAGATGTCAGGACTCACACTGATTCCTCTGTAATAAGACTCTAAATGAAGACTGCACTGTTCCCCTTCAGGTGCCGCTGCAGATGGTCCACCAGGCCCCCAGGGGCCACCCGGCTCGTCTGGACCCAGAGGAGAACCAGGAGACCCGGGGCCCGTTGTCACTGGGTCCCCTGGACAGACTGGAGTCCCAGGAGGTCGTGGAGTTGAAGGAGAACCAGGAGAACCAGGAATACCAGGTGATGTGTTTATGGTCATAGCCACCGTCTTCATCCCAAACCACTTCACACTCTGCCTGTCTTTATCTGAATCAAAAGCAAAAGTTGTACAGATTATAAAACAACCTTAAGACAAATCTGTGATTTAGAGATGACTTGACAGAAGTGTTAATGAAATATTTTAACGTCATCATAAATATGTAGAAAGTGATGCCTGTAAATCAAACAATCATCTGTAAAACATTTCCTCTGCGGTGAAATCAGGAAATACAAAATATACAACAGCAACTAGACATATAGATACGTGAAGTGTCAAAGCAGCAACGTAAAGAATTCACAGTACTACAGACAGGGAGCTTCTCTAAAGAAACATTTCAACCGTCTTGTTCTCTGTCTGTAATAAGTTGTGGAGTTCCTCAGGGAAGCATCCTGGAGCCACTGATATTTCTAATAAACCTTGTTGAAAAGAAATAGTCCAACATTTCTTTGTGGAAATTACGTTTATATGCAATTCATTTGCAACAGGAAATGTTTAACCTATCAGACAACAGTATCTAACACAAGCATTATTCAGCTTTTTATAATTATGTTTAGACTCTTTCAGTAAAGAGTCAAGTGAGGTGATGTCAGTTTGGTCCATCACTTGGTAAAGGTAGCTGAGCACAAAGACTGAAGTCTCTCTGATTTGTTTTCTGTGTCAGATTTCCTGCCGGGAGACATTGGTGTTACTGGAACTAAAGGTTCAAAAGGACTGACGGGGTTTCCTGGAACCAGAGGGGATGGCGGGGAGACCGGTGAGTGGGTGAGAGTAAGGGGGAGTGATGATGTTACATGACATGATGATATAATATGAACGAGTCCAGTGATGTAATTTTTCTGTAGTCTGACCTGGACCCGAGCTCTGGGTTAAAACAGGAGGTTTGGAAGATGATATTTAAGAAAGAAACAACATAATTTCTTCTGAAATTCACACATTTAAAAGAACAGAATCTAAAACAATCAACACTTTTTACCATATTTACACTCATGTCAAAATAATCTAAATCGCTGGTTTAAAACTGTTCGAGTGGTCCAACTGTTCCTGGGATCTTTTCAGATCCCAGTACAGATACAGACCACCTATTCTGGATGTCATTGGATTCAAACCAGGACCTTTCTACTGAGGAGACAGACCCAACCACCGAGCTACACTTAGAGTGAAAATACAAAACTAATAATAAAAAGTGCAACTGGGACTTAAAAGTCTGTAAAATTAGATTAATTGCAGCAAGAGATGGCAACTGGAGCTTAAAACCAGTACTGAAAATATTAAACCAATGAAAAGCAGTTAGGACTACTAATAGGCCAAAATAAGAGCTTTGTTGAATTAAAAAAATCTTGTTTTTTTATATTTACAACCTGGTTAGATCCGACCCACAGTCCAGAAGTGGTCTGCAAACCACAAGTTGGGAACCACTGATATACACCGATCAGCCATACCATTATGACCGCTGACATGTGAAGTGAACAGCACTGATCATCTGGTTACCATGGCACCTGTCAGTGAGTGGGATATGTCAGGCAGCAGGTGAACATCGTGTTCTCTGAGTTGACCAAACTGTGATGGCATTTCCAAACCGGTCTGTTAGTCAGTACCTGTCAGAATTGGTCCAAGGAAGGAAAAGCAGTGGACCAGCAGCCAAGGCTCATTGATGCACGTGGGGAGCGAAGGCCGGCCCGTGTGGTTCGATCCACCAGACGAGCTACTGCAGGTCAAACTGCTGAAGAAGTTGATGCTGGTTTTGATAGAAAGGTGTCAGAACACACAGAGCAGACACAGCGGAGTCCAGGCCCCGACAGGTCAGAGCTGCTTTGGCTGCAAAAGGGAGACCCACATGATGACCAGGAGTCGGTCATAATGTTATGGCTGATCGGTGTAGATTATCACTCACAGATCAACTTAAGAGATGAGATATTATGCGACGACTGTTGTTTCTTGTACAAACCCTCTGATCTGATTCCAATCTGAAACATACAGTCCATATATATAGATGACTGTATATAGTTTAATAAGAAAAAGTACAATGCCGTGTTTTGCATAATTAATTGATTGGTGTTTGTCAGGTGATAAGGGGGAGATGTGCTTCCGCTGCCAAATTGTTTCCAGCTCCCCCGGACCTCCAGGTAAACCAGGAGAGACAGGTGAACAAGGGGTGACAGGTAAGAACCACAACTGATGTCTATTAAACAATAACATAAAAGTTGTTTTTTTTTTTGTTATTTTATTGCCTAAAAGTTTTCTAAAAGAGAAGACACAATATGAAGATAGCCAGGAATTAAAATGTTGACTACGCTGTGTTGAAAGGACTTTAGGATTTAACTGTAATTAATGTGAATGTGAATTGAACCTCAACCTGTTCACAGTGACCAGACCAGCAGACAGCAGGATCTGATCCAGAGTCAGATTCAGTGAAAAGATGATAAGCAGGTAAAATTCACCTGTCTGTGTTTGTGATGTCATTCTGTGTCCAGGTTCAGTCGGTGTTTCAGGACCCAAAGGTCATAAAGGGGTCAAAGGTTTTGGAGGACCAGCTGGTCCACAGGTGAGCTCACCGATTACTTCCATAAACTCTTCTATCGCAGAGGCGAACTCTAGATTCCTCTCCTCCTCTGGTATCTCCAGCTTTCGCTGCACATTAATACTATTAATATTGGGGAATGCTTCAACCACTGAAACTGTATGAAGCTAATTTCTCTGCACTCCAAAGGACAAGACACCTATCCTACTCTGCTTTGAGCTCTACCTCAAAGACCGGTCATTGTAAGTGGCGTGGAAAGGAGAAGAACCCCGCTCTTCTCAACATGCATCACCTCCCTTGGTCTGATTATCCACTCATATGGTTTTTCTTGCCACTGTTGTGCTGATGATAAGCAGCTCTATCAGTCTCTTCCACCAGACAACCCGACTCAGCAGGGATCTAACTCTGCCTCAGTGAAAAAACTCCAGACGTTTTGCGTTTCAAAACTCCGGAGGACTTTAGAAACGATGACGCAGACGCTCGGCTCCCTGATTGGGTCTTATAAGTCACGCAAAGCAGAAACATGATGCTGCCGACAGAGTTTTTGATTTGGTATTTTTATTAAAATATTCTGTACTGTGTAAATAACACATATCTGCCTACACTGGTGCTGTGCATGTCGCCGTTTACATTGCTGTCTGATTTCCGCCTCCAAACTCCCGTGTTACATTCAGTAACAGTCCCAGCTCGTTATTGGTCCATGCAAGATAGAAAAAACCGGGTCTGATTCTTTGTCTGTATTTATTATTTCTGTATCTGTATCTACGGAACAGACCATCTGCTTCATGTTTACACCGGCACACACCTGCTGTTTTAATTTAGATGGAGATCAACTCTGATAGGCAGCTTAAACACTGCCGTGGACGGAGATCGTATTCGTTTTAATTCTCCGTTTGTAAACTAAAACGGAGTTGTGTGGTTCTACTTGATCTACTGTGGCTTTGGCTGTACCTTCACTTTAGTTTTCACAAAATACAATCCCTCTTACAGTTTGCAGTCCAGAAATGAGACAAAAAATTATGGCATCACTTTGTGAATCAATGTTCAGGAATTGTTTCACCGTCTGCTGGATGTAGAGCCCATTTTCAGAGCAGATGAAATATTTATTGTTGCTGAATTTGTGAAAAATGATTCAGTGAGTGGAAAGAATTTGTAGCTGTTGCAGCATAAAAAGGTTGAAACTGTTTTATTTCACATGAATTTTGTCCTCATGTTGAGCTGAATCTGACTAACCAATGACTCTGGTAGAAAGCTTTCTGACTGGGTAGTTAGATCGTTACTTATAGACATACCAGGTATAAGTACAAGGTTGTTTATTTGTCATTATACAACACAAGGTTGTATACCTCACGTCTGTTACCCTTTCTGCAGGGCCCCTATGGTATCCCCGGCCTCCCGGGGACTCCAGGACCTGTTGGTGACCCAGGGGTCATGCAGAGAGTGGGGCAGAAGGGTGAGGCAGGGGACCAGGGACTGCCAGGACCACCAGGTTTTGAGGGGAAAGATGGACGTCAAGGAGTTACAGGACCAAAAGGTGTTGTGGGACAGAAAGGAAACCCTGTGAGTATCACATACATCATCCAGTCTGACTTTATCTTCACAGAACAAGGACTTGTTTAGATTTTGTTGTTTTACTGTCCACTATGAACAGGAGGGATGACGCCAGTTTCATGATGGTTTGTTGTTTGTGTTAAATCCTGCTCTTAGGGGCCTCTCGCGCCAAAAGGTAACATGGGCCCGATCGGGGAGACTGGTCCCAGAGGACTATTAGGACAGACGGGACCTTCAGGACCTCCTGGAATTGGGGCTCCAGGACCTCCAGGACCTCAAGGCAATGTGGGAGTCGTGGGACAGCCAGGAGATCCTGGAAAACAAGGTGAGTGTCTGGACTTTATGGTGGATGCAGAGAACTCATGTTGTCTCTGCAGAAACTGATGTCAGTGCAGCTGAGACGAAACCAACAGCTTCAGCCGTCATATTATGTAACTTTGACCGATGATGACTCATTTTGACTTGGATTGGATTTGATTGGTTGGCGATCCTTGATAAATACGGAGCCCGAACACAGACTAACTACCACTCTGTTTGTTTGTTCATTCAGGGGAAAAAGGTTCTCCAGGTGAAATCAGAACCTTTCCAGGAGATCCAGGACAGAAGGGGGAGAAAGGTTTATCTGGAAACACCGGATCTGATGGTGAGAAGCGATTTCAACATACCCAGGATGTCATCCAGTTATCTGGCTTCACTAACCCTAACAATCGGGGTCGGGATAAGCGCTACCACAAAGATGGTCCTCAACTCGGTGACTCAACCCAGGGTTTCCCAATCCAGCCGGGAGCGTGTTCACATAAAAGAGCCGGAGTTGGCAGCAGAGCGTCATATTTTACGAACAAGCAAACTGTAACACTACAGAAATACTACATAGGCCTGCGTTTCCACACACTCAAAGTGTTCCCACCATTGTTCTAAATTAACTTCATAAATAAACGAAACAAAAAATCCATTCATGCCATAAAATGAGCTCAGATAGTGTCTGAAAGACTGAATCTCAACATTTAGGCTGCTGGAAACTCTCCTCATTACCTGCAGCCACATCGCAGAAGGTGGGGCGGAACATGACTACAGTCTCTGTGGTAGGCCTATAAGAAAGCTCCTAACCTAAAATAAACAGCCTACGTTCATATTAAAAGTTTGCATTTCAGTATCCCTACCAAACTGCTCATAATATTCAGCCTCACATAAGAAAAATGAAACCCGTTTATTTTAACGGCTGCGACAGGCTGTGTGAAACGGACTGGGAGCAAATAAAAAATATTAAACACATTTCAAAGCAGTTAGTAGGTTTACTGTAAAAACCTGTAGGTAACAATAATCAGTCTCTGTACGATGATGTCGCTTTAGCCTACAAGAGTTTCTCCACATCACCGCAGCAAACATAAAAGCAGCCTATAAAACAGTCTGTGGGATCTCCTACAGACGCTGATGTCATTTCCCAGAGAGCTGATTAGTCAGTAGGCGGCGTTTTCATAGAGTTGTTCTCTTGTCTGGAACATAAACTGCTCCGGAGCAGGTTAGCCGTTCAGCATCAGTTACCATGGAGATCTACCCCGGTAAGTGGTGCTGAAAACCCAGCAGGGTTAACCCCGAAGTTACCTGGGTAAGCTCAGATCCTGCTTCGTGGTACAGGCCCCTGGTTTGTGCTAATTTATTCATTACTCTAATATGCACCACTAAACCCGGTGTCATCTCACTGCTTTTCACACTTCTTCCACAAAATCACCAAGACAAACACAGAGCTGTTGACCTGCTGACTCGCCTCGTCTCTGCTGTTCTCAGGTGTGACAGGAGCTCCAGGTGTTCCTGGATCTGTTGGTCCAAAGGGAGAACAAGGAGATGTAGGATTTTCAGTCCAGGGGCCTCCAGGCTTTCCAGGGGTCAAAGGTCAGGATTATGAACGGTGTTAAAAACAGTCAGCTGAGGCTTTAATAAATGAACTGAAGATGTAATCTTCTGCGTTGTTTTTTTGGCTCAGGATTCAAGGGCGTTCCAGGAGCTCCAGGTTTACCAAGTTTTGGGATCAAGGGACGGGCGGGGCCATCAGGCCCTCCAGGGATGCCGGGCCCCAAGGTAACGTTAACTCATACAGACAGGAAATCCCCATCATAAAGAAAGTAGAAGTTAAGACACACAGAGATTAGGTTCATGTTTCTGTGTACAGATGCTCACATATGTGCATCCACACATGCATGTAGACAGAGACGGGGACTCGAGTTTGAGAGTCGCACACACGGTGACTTGAGACTCGTCCTCAAAATACTTCAGACTCGACTCGGACTTGAGGTGCGGGACTCAACAATGATTATTTTTAGGAAGCGTCTGATGAGCGTGCTGTTATTCCCTCCCTGCGTTACCTGTAACCTGCATACGTAACACGTAGCATCAGCTGCGTGTGGCCGCACGTGAGAGAGGACAACAAACAGCTGCTGCGCCGTTCATCATAAACTTTGACTTTAACACTTCATACAACAAGACCCAAACAAAGAAGCGCTGAACACAAATAGGTTAGTAACCTGAGGTTAGAGAACATGTTTAGCTCAGCAGTGGCCATCTAACGTTAGCTTGCTTCTTGCTTTAGCAATGACCTACAGGAGGTTAACTCCGACTGTCGTTCATTATGAAAAGATGAATGAGCGTTTGTTTACCTGCCAAACTTGGTGGTCGATGGCTGCCATCACGTTAATTTTTAACGTTGGCTGCAAACAGGTTACAGGTTTATTGTTGTTAACGTTACAGTTTTATTTACTTAACGTTGCCCTGAGTTTGAGAGTCTGCGGGGTGTGTTGACTTACAGTAGTTAATTATTGCTGTCATTAATTGCATTGCACATTACATTACATTGAAAAACAGGTTACAGTTACAGTATTTCTTACAGCTACGCCATTTTATAAGCAGCCTGGATTGAACGCAGCAGCTGATACAACATTTATTATAACCATGAGACCTGACTTGGACTCTAGGTCAAAGACTTGTCCTGGTCACCAGGACATAAAAACTGTATATATAGAATCAGCAGTATAATCTGATAAGAAACGCTGAAAAGGTTTTTCCCAACTTGTTATACATACGAGATATGTGCATACAACATACAATCTTTAGTGTGGACCCAAATGCAGGACACCGATTCAGCAGGTGAAGTTCGAAGATTTAATTTAAAAAAAGGCGAGCGATTCAAAGTAAATAAACCATCCCAACGAACAAATAATCCAACTGGAAAACCAAGAACTGGAGGGGGAAGACGGGCAGACGGAGGACATCACAGGACAAAGCATTACAAGCTACACACTACATGAGACAGAGCTTCTACAAGCTACAAGGACTGAAGACACAGCAAACATATATACACACACAGGGGGCCTTTCAGAAACTAGACCCTCGTCACTTCCACTCCGACATGGAGTGAACTCTGGTCGGAGTCACCCTCCAGGCCTAATCGAGCTCCCTAACCCGCGTAGGGTTTAAATACATCGTCAACTTTCGGACGAACTCCCCTCTCTCCCCAGCATAAATAGGATCTGACGTTACCGCTGCTCTCACTGCTATAATACGTGTATCAAATAAACAACAGTGGTATTTAGATTAAAGACTGATGTTGAGGACGTGTCGAAAGTGAAAGCATTTGTCATTCATTTTGTGAATGTGTTCCTGTCGAACATGACTTTATATATTTATGAAAAATAAATATATTCTTTTATGAAAAGATTGATATTCATTGTAAAGAAAAGCCTGTATATTTGAACCTCTTTAACTTAGCCTATATGAAAAATGTTACATTCACAAATTTCAGTATAAATCATATAGGCTATGTTGTTAACCTGTGAATGGTGACGTGACAATGTTAGTGTAGTTTCGAAATAAAAAATCCTACCTGTTAACCGGCGAAGTCACATGGAACGCAAATTGAAAGAAAGGTCCCCCATCGTGCATCGTGTTACACACCTTCAACAAGCCAGCATCGGTGCTGACTCGGCATTAGAGGGTTTAACAACCCACTACCACTCCACCCTCATTGGTTATGGATGGCACTCCGGTTCCGCATGAACGCGCAAACGGAGTGGAAGTATGTAGGGAGAGGGAGTAGCAAGCAGTTTTGGAAAGGCCCAGGGACTAACGAGCAGGGAGGGAGCAACACAGGTGACCAGGATCAGGACTAATGAGGCAGAGAGACAGCAGGGGAAAACAGAGAGAGAGACAGGCATGCAGAGGGATAACTGGGGGTACAGACATAACCTAGGTAATGGACACTAAACACAGAATGATCATAAACCAATAAACAACTAATCAGGCAGAGATTACCATAACACTAGACAGGCAGACAGAAACCGAGCATGAAACAAACACCAGATAATAACAATACGACAAGAACTAGGCCAGCACAGATCCAAACATGAACAGAACTGAACACAGGCACAGACACCTGACACAAGAGAAGAAACAGACTAAAACCTAATCATACCGACAGACTACAGACGTAGAGCAGACATCTGGCAAAAATAACAACCAACACAGACGTACACAGACCAGGAGTAACACTAAGACATGAAACCAAAACCCAGACACAGAGAAACCAAAATCAAAACACAGAGAACACATGGCCAAAATAATATAACACAAAACACCTCAGGACAGGACCGTGAAAAGAACTGCCTTAATTCTTTGTCGCAAACGAGTTGTTGCAAACATACTGACATGATAGCAACAAGCATTTGCTGCAGATTTGGAACTGGCTCAATTGGTACTAATAAAGAAAATATCCCCCACACTATTACATCAGCAGCCTGGACCGTTGATACGAGGCAGGATGGATCCATGCTTTCATGTTGTTTACGCCAAAATTCTGACCCTACCATCTGAATGTCGCAGCAGAAATCGAGACTCATCCAACCAAGAAACGTTTTTTCTTCTTCTGTTGTCCAGTTTTGTTGAGCCTGTGTGAATTGTAGCCTCATTTTCCAGTTCTTAGCTGACTGGAGTGGCACCCATTGTGGTCTTCTGCTGCTTGGACGTGTTGTGCGCTCAGAGATGGTGTTCTGCACACCTTGGTTGGAACGAGGGGTTATTTGAGTTACTGTTGCTTTCTGTCATCTGGAACCACGTCTGCCCATTCTCCTCTGACATCGACAAGGCATTTCCGTCCACACAGCTGCCGCTCACTGGATATTTTCTCTTTCTTGGACCATTCTCTGTAAACCCTAGAGACGGTTGTGCGTGAAAATCCCAGTGGATCTGCAGTTTCTGAAACACTCGAGACTAGCCCGTCTGGCACCAACAAACATGCCACATTCAAAGTCACTTAAATCTCCTTTCTTCCCCATTCTGATGCTCACTTTGACCTTCAGCAAGTTGTCTTGACCATGTTTCTGCCGTGTGATTGGCTGATTAGCCATTGGTTTTAACAAGCAAATGATCAGGTGTACCTAATAAAGTGTCCGGTGAGTGGATACCTGTACTATTGGACTTTTGGTATAAATATTTGCACAAGTCATTTATACAGTTTAATGTTTTGTCATGTGTCTATCGTATAGGCTATCAGACAGAACACGAGGTGAAGTTTACGACCTGGCAAAGTGACGAAATTGTTTCAACCCGAGTTCAAAATGGTCATGAATTGCAGAGCTTTATGAATCTGAGCCATAAAGGCAGAAAGAGGAGCGGTTATAAGAGAAATAACCGGAGTTTCCACTGAGTTCAGAGATTCATCAGAGGCTGAATTGAAGTTCAGTTTGTAAAGTTTGGGGCACATAAATACTGTCAAAAAAATTAGGTCTCACGTATTTGACACTAAATCGCTCAATCTGATTTGAATCACCAAATTGCTTAATCTGGCAAGGTCAGAGTTCAAGGAAACCAGCATTTCCTTAAACTCTACAAACCATGTACATTAAATCTGTCTTTAACTTCCTCTCAGAGTCATAATTGTGACTTGAAACTGTTTCTACTGATGATTTATTACGACTAACTAACAATTACTGTGGCGCATAACAACATCACACTACTTCCTGTTTTGCTGGATGTAAATGGACGTCACAGTGGGCATTCTTCCTCATCCCATGGTGGTTTACTACTTTCATGTTGGTCTCTGTGGACAGGGGGACGGGGGTATCGGTTTCCCGGGTCAGCAGGGTCAGTCAGGCCCCCTGGGAGAAGATGGCTCCGTGGGGCCCCAAGGAAACCCCGGACCCCAAGGACCAGATGGAGCCCCAGGACCTCCAGGACAAGACGGACCATCAGGATCACAAGGTAGCTCATTTAATATCTGGACCCAGAGATTGTAACTAGTTAAAAATGAACCTACCAGTGGTGGTGGACTCCCAGGTGTTTTCTTTAAGAGGACATCTTGCTTTTAGTTGATGGTTACATATGGGACATTTGTCTTTTGACACGACTCCAACTTTCGAGACGTTAGAAACATGAAACTGAACTAAAGACCAACCTTTATAGTTGGTTTTCTTTGGTCTGAATCAGTGGTTGCGTTGGTAAACTTGTGTTTTCATCTTTGTTCAGGTTCTTTTCACACGTAAATAAATCCAAACAAACTAAAATTCATCAGTAAAAGCCAGATGAGAATGTGTCTGGAGCAGGAGACATTAAACACAGGAAGAAGGTCCTAAAGAAGATCCTATGTGCCAAAATATAAAAACCCTAGTCCAGATCAAACCATTCTTTCTGAATTCATCTGTTGATTTCGCCCCTCCGCATCCCAGCATGCAAAGCTTACCTGGCCACAGGAGCTTGTCTGGCTCAAACCTGAGGCTATAAGGCTGTGTGCCTTATAGTCGGGTCAGATCACATTCCCGGACTGCTCCAGGAACCTCCTGCAACCAGACCCTGACCACTTCCTCTAAAGAGTCTCTGTGAGGTTGTTTTGGCGCGACTACGATTGTTGTGTTCAGAACGAATTGTACCAAGGGGGAATCGCATAACCGAGTCGTTAACCGGACCAGGTTTGGAACACACAAAGAGAACCGAAGTAAATTAATTTCAATAAATAAATAAAGAGGGACTACATTTAAAGAAAAAAAATGTTTTGACATAGAGCACAAATATGAATGTTGAAAAAAAATAAAGAGTCTTTGGCAGTTGCAGAAATATCCACCCAGTGGAATCTAGACGCTGGTGGTGGTGGTGGTGGTGAAGGGGTGAATAGATGACACACGGAGAGGGACTTCTGATGAGCTCACCAGAAGGAACAATTGGGAAGACTGGTTGTGATGAAAACCGGAGGTGGGTTGCATCGATCTGACAGCTGACAACTAACCAACGAGATGATTGGCTCACAGAGGTCGTGGCAACACCTGATTGGTTTAAAGCAGACCTATTATTCTGCTTTTCCAGTCATATATTGTAGTTCTGTTGCTCCTGTAGGGCAGCTTTGCATGATTCAGAGTTCAAAAAAATAATTGTTTTATACTGGTTCTTCATGTAGGCCTTCATTTCAGCCTCTGTCTGAAACAAGCTGTAGACGCTGCTGTCTCTTTAAGGCCCCCCCTCTCAAAGCCCACTGTCTTCTGATTGGCCATTGAAACTCTAATTTTCAATTTATTATTATTTTGATTGTTTCATATTTTAGTAATTGTTTTGGTTTGGTAAGTTTTTTTTTTATTAATTAATTATTTATTAATGTGTCTATTAAAATACACACACATTTACGGTTTTATCTATTTATTTTATAATTTTTTTTAATATTATTATAATAACACACACGTTACCGTTTCATTTATTTATATACTTTTTATTATTATTATTTATTTTTTATTAACACACACAAACACAACTTAATGGAAATGTATGAAATTAATTGTTCTTATGTAATCTATATGTAGCTCTGGCAATACTGTTGTTATACATTCATGCCAATAAAGCTTATTTGAATTTAAAATTATCTTATGTGTTTACCAGGTTGCCGCAGAGATAGGGCTGCGTATTCCTTTGTGGCCGTGGCCAGAATGCTGGCCCACAAAGTTTTCCTGCCACTACAGCTTTCCTGTAGCTGCGGGTGAATCCTAGGTAGGCTTGTGGGTGTATAATTTTGGACGCTTTGCTTGCGGGAGGTTGCCTGGGGGAATCCACTTCTCCAGTAGAGTGGTCACTCATCAGGGCAGATTCACCGGCATCCCCGTGGGAGGGTGTCCCCCGGAGAACTCTTCCTGTTTACACCGTGACATCATTCATCGCCACGGCTAGATCTGAGGGGGAGAATCTGGATTGATTCCATCAATAAACTGGAGTAACATTCTATGTTTTTCCTTGGTTCTGCTAGCAGCCAAGACTCAGCATGGTGCTTTTATAATTAGTCCTAATTTTATCTGACTATTACCAGCAAGATGATCCACAGAAATGGTGAACATGATGAGCTTTCCCCACATTCACAGAAATATTGGGGCACCATCTGGGATTTTGGCCCTTTGGACATCAAACTCAGCTGGAATCCACAGACTATTGGTGACTACAGAACTTATATTTAGCTGATCTTAAGGTACTTGGTTGGTCTACATGGTTGGTTTCAATGTTTTTCTTTTTATCTTCCTTCTAGACCAGACCACTGTCTTTATAGAAAAGTCATGATACAATACAAAAAGAAAATGTATAGTTGCCCTCCTTCTTATACTCTCTGGTAGTGTTCATCCTAACCCTGGTCCAGTGCTTAATAATTTGAATACTCCTGAAGAATTCAAAACTAGAGCCGGACAAGGTTTTATTCATATTAATGCCTGAAGTCTACTCCCCAAACTCGATTTTATACAAACTCAACAGATACTGATATTCTTATAATCTCAGAAACATGGCGTAATAAATCTATTTTAGATAAGGATATAGCAATCAAGGGCTACAATGTCTACCGTTGTGTCTGCGTTGGTGGCATTGCCATTTATATAAAAAATCGTTTTCCTTGTAACATTGTGTATTCGGTATCCATTAGTAAGCAGCTAGAGCTTTTAGCCTTGAAGATGGAGCTCGCATTATGGCAAACAATGACTGTCATAGGTTGCTATAGACCACCCTCTCAGCAAGTACTGAGGCTCTTTGCTCTTTAAATTATCATCTATCGAGCATTAAATTTGGAGAGGTACTTTTAGCCGGGATTTTAACTTGGATTGGCTGTCCTCCATTTTCGACAGTTTTAAATCTGTCTGTGACTCTTTTAATCTTACCCAGTTGATTGATAGCCCAACTCGCCCAAACCCCAGCTGCCCTGAAAAGTCCTCTATACTTGATTTGTTTTTGACTAATTAATGCTCCACACAAATTCTCAGATAATAGGTGTGTTTCCTAATGACCTGAGTGATCATTGTACAATAGCAGCAGTTAGGAATGCTAAAATCCCGAAACAGGGGCCTCGGATTATTTTCAAAAGAGATATGAAGCATTTTTGTGAAAAAGACTTTTCACATGACCTGTTTCATTTTAATTGGAACAATTTATTTGTTATAGATGAAGTAGAATTGGCCTGGAACTACTTTTAGGATCATAGATAAGCATGCCCCTGTATGCAAATTCAGAGTCAAAGGCCGAAACAATCCCTGTTTTTCTCCTGAGATTTCCTGCCTATCAAAAGCTTTTGATACAGTTGATCCCTGCATTCTGGTAAATAGACTACTGAGCATTTGCCTGTCTAAGCATTCAGTAGACTGGTTTGCAAATTATCTGTCAGGTAGACCCCAAAATGTTCAGATGGCTGGCTCCTCCTCTTCCTTTTTGCCCATTTCCAAGGGGGTTCCTCAAGGCTCAGTACTGGGGCCCATGTTGTTTTCAAATTATATAAACAATCTTTGTGATAATCTAATAATCTGATCAAATGTATGTAATGTAAAATGTATTTATACTGATGACACTGTTATTTACTGCACTGCATCATCTACTGCACAAGCACTTGATCTTTTGCAGTCTGCTTTCAATATTGTTCAGAGCCGTTTAAAACAGCTTAAGTTGGTCTTAAATGCAGAAAAGTCCAAAGTAATGGTTTTCACAAACTCAAGACAACTTCCAGTTACTACTTCAAGCATCTCAACTTTTGAAGGAAATTAAATTGAGTTAGTTAACAGTTATAAATATTTAGGTATAATCATTGATTGTAAACTGTGTTTTAAAACTCATACTAGCAACCTGGTTTCTAAACTCAAGATAAAGCTTGGCTTTCTCTACAGATCAAAATCATGCTTATCCATTCGCGCTAGAAAACACCTGGTGACGGCCACTTTTCTTCCCATATTAGATTATGGTGATCTGATATATGAATGCTTCTGCCCAATGCCTACAGAAATTGGATGTGTATCATTGTGCATTGCGTTTTTAACAAGTACTTACCATTATGGTTTACGTTCAAAGGACGTCCTACCCTTGGTCCCCCATGTCCGAACAGAATTAGGTAAAAAGGCCTTGATGTTGCTGCACCTTCTGCTTGGAATCTTCTTCAGAACTCGTTGAAATTGACTGCCTTTATTTGTTAGACAGTTTGTTTCAGCTGTGAAAGATCTGGAGCAGGTGAACATCGGTCAGTGTCGCTGTTTATAAAGTTGTATTCTGCCTTATTCAACACAGGGGCTTGTGTTATATATGTATGTGTACTTGATGTCTTTTATATGTTGGAAACTGTTCTTTATTTTCTTTTATGCTGTGTCTTGGCCAGGTCTCTCTTGCTAAAGAGATTTTAATCTCAATGAGGCTCACCTGGTTAAATAAAGGTTAAATAAAAAAGTAGAGAAGTTAGTAAAAGTTAGAGGAAAAACATTTTAAACCAGAGTGTTCAGAACAGGTGGATATCTGAGGTTTTGGCTCACAGCGATTTTTTTAAATACTTCTACCTCATTATTTGAAGCTGAATTGAATTGAGTAAATAATAAATAGATATGCATGAAGATAGTCTCTCTTCCTGATTTAACTTATTAAGCTTCATGTACCTTACAGGTCAGACTGGTCTGGATGGTGTGCCTGGTCCTGTTGGTTCTGTTGGACTGTGTTCACCTGGAGATCCTGGACCTGAAGGAGAGCAGGGACGGATGGGTGTTATTGGATTCACAGGTACCAACTCTACTGTAGAGTTTGTGTCCCTTTATAGAATCTAAAAACTTTTCATCTGACTGGTAAAACAGGGAGGAATATTTTGGAATTAAAACCATAATGAAAAAAACTCCTCTGTCTCTCAGTCTAATAGGCATCTTGTCTTGCAGGGACCCGGGGCCCAAAAGGTGTGCAGGGTGACCCTGGGCTTTCCGGCGTCGGAGTCCCAGGACCTCAGGGGCTTCTCGGTGCACCAGGATTTGATGGAATTCCAGGGCCTGTAGGAGGAGTTGGACTGAAGGGCCTGAGAGGGACTGATGGGGATCCAGGAAGCCCAGGTAAGGAGGCGTTTCCACATCTGTTCGTCCTGCTCCACATATCTGTCACGATCCTGGCCTGAGTTGTTCTGTGTTTGTATTTTGTCTTCTCTGTGTTTTGATTCTTGTTTCACTCTGTTTACATGGTTATGGTCTCTGTTCTGACATTATCCCTGCTAATTAGCGAATGTTGGCATGCTAACATGCTAAACGAAAATGATGAACATGGTAAACATTATACCTGCTAAACGTGGGCATGTTAGCATTGTCAATGTGACCATGTTAGCGTGATGTAGTTAGCATTTAGCTACATTTCAGCCTCACTGAGCTGCAGACGTTTTAGAGTAAAAAACAAACTACATTGTCAACAGGGTTGGGAGTGTTACTTTAAAAATGTAATCTGGTACAATTGCTAGTTACTTGTTAAAAAATGTAATCAGTAATGTAATCGAGGTACCAGAAAATACAAGTAATGTAACCTGATTACTTTTAGTTACTTTTGGATTATGTCAATACCAAAAAAACGAAAATAAAGAAGAGAGTATCAAAGATGCCTGGACTGCTCAGTGGATTTGTAGAGACATACAATTAGCAAGTCAGCTAACTGCTGCTAACTAGCTGCCATTATCTAATTAGCTCAGTTAGCCTGCAGCTACTGGCCAACGTAGCTCACTCTGCCCATACTGTGAACCGGAGTGTGTTTAGATTTACACCTTTACGCAAGCACTGGAGGTTTTCAGGCCAGGGTCGGGGGGACTTGGCGGGGAATGATTGCGGGGAGCGGCACCGGGCGAGCGGCAAACAAAACACAACACAGCAGTTTCCCGGTAAACACGGCATGAACAGGACCGAACACAGCCTCATTAACGTCAGTTCACTCAGCGCTGGGGTGACAAGAGCCAGACCGGTAAGAAACTGTTCGTACTGTACTCCCAGTGGTCATGGGCTCCGTCGGTCTCTGAGTCTGTGTTCAGGTCCGTCTGCCGTGTTCACTCATTCGCCCACTGGGAGCTGGAATCAGTCTGCACAGAGTCTGCGTAACGGCGTGGGGGCGTGACCACATTCAACTACTGGCTACACGCCGATCAAAATCTGTGACAAATCCCTCATTAGTTGTGTGTTTTTACAGGAAACACTTAAATAGAAAATATCACTTTGTTCTTAAAGTAATCCCTGTGTGTAATCCTCATTTTTACAAAATGTACCTGTAATCTGAGTACATCTTTATTTTCTGTACTGTAACGGAATACAGTTACTTTATTTTTGTATCCTGATTACGTAACGCCGTTACATGTAATCCGTTACTCCCCAACCCTGATTGTCAATATAAGTCAATGCAGTGTCCCCACAAGTAAAGTAACTTCCACATATTTGTGTTTTAGGTATCAGAGGGGATGTGGGTCCTACAGGAGCCCTTGGGAGTCCAGGGGATGATGGGAAACCAGGGGAGACTGGAGAACCAGGACCGCAAGGTTTCATCATCGATCAATCAATGAATCAATCAGTTAAACAATCCGTCAGTGTTCTGTGACTGTAACTTTCCATGACCGGTGTGTCCCTCAGGTGAGGTGGGTGTGGATGGGCTCAGTGGTACTCGGGGGCCGCAGGGGGTTCAGGGGGACCGAGGAGACACCGGACCAAAAGGATTTCAGATAGCTGTAGAGACACATGGAGATCCTGGAGACCCTGGAGGACCTGGTACTTTATTCTGTTTTGTTCTGTATGAATTATGTATTATCTGAGAAACTGTGGAGGATACAGTGTTGGGCAAATTATTTAGGAATTGTCATAAGTTACTTTTTTATTTATTACTGCTTAAAGTAATAACATTACTTATTATTGGGTATTAAAAGTAATTTGTTACTTTCTTACAACGGATGACCGTGTTCTTTACATCCTAGCCGGTGACAAACTCACAATAATGGTGATACTTACAGCTGTGGAAAGAACGCCTCTCTCCACCGTTCTCCATTCGTCCTTTAGTTTTTTGGCTCGTAGCCGACTTGAACAACATGAGGTCTCGCTGCTTGACTTGAACTGCCGCTGACCTGTCGCGCAATCGTGCATACATGTCAAAGAAAACAAGACATACTGCGTTGTGGTAACGCAGTAACTCTAAATATGGCGACATGCTCAGTACAAGTGTAAGCTGCAAGTGTTATTTGCACGGTACAAAATATTTTAATAAAAATACTAAATCAAAAACTGTCAGCGGCATCATGTTTCTGCTTTGCATGACTTATAAGACCAGAGAGCCGAGCGTGAGCGTCTGCGTCATCGTTTCTAAAGTCCTCCATTTTTGCTCGTCCGCACTAAAACGCTACCCGGAGTTTCAAAACGTAAAACGGGGTCGGCAGCGTTTTCAAACTTCTCCTTTTTAGGTCTTCATTTTCGCCGTTTTAGTCTGGACGGGAGGAGTAAACGTAGCAAAAGGTCTCTTTTTTTTAAAAAACAAAAATGCAGTAGTGTGGATGGAGCCTAAATGTGCATCTTTAAATCTGCATGTGGCCCATTTTCACCTCAATGATAAATTAGCTTAATTAATTTTTATTAAGTTAGAAACTCCTGGACCAGGTTTTCTGCTCAATTTCAAAACTTTCTGCACATTCACAATCTCTCCCATAGATCTGTGTTCTCTGACATTTGCAGAATAATGTTTTACGACAAAAGTCTAAATATTATAAGAATAAAATTGCAATCTAATGAGAATGAAGTCATAATATTTTAACAAAATCTACCTGCCCCTCTGCGGTGCATTACCCTGCGTTATTGCTCTGCTCATATGGCAGTAGGCTACCCTCTTTACAGCGTCTGACAGACACAGAGCCCGTCTGGGACTGGATGAGACGAGATCACTGCTCTTCATCATAGGGAGAAAACCTAAACTGAAAAGCAGTATTATTGTAAGGAGCCTCTGTTCTTCCAAGACCTGCGAGATAGGTCACGTCATGAGGATTATTGCATATTAATACGGAAAATATTTTTGATGATGTTGTTGAATTACATTCGGGGCTACAGTCAAAACATTCGGGGCTAAAGCTCCGGAAAAATGGCCTGCTGATGCCGACGGTGGTTGGTATCAATTTGTTTTCAGTCAGTGTTTCAGCCTTCATTGCTCAGCAGATATTGTCCACGGTGTCCCTCAGGGCTCTACTCAGGCCCCATTTAATTGTCCATTTATACTACTCTGCTTTGAATCTGTCCGTCACATATAAAGCTAAAGCAAGTAGCCAGTTGACTTAGCTTAGCTTAAAGACTGGAAACAGCTAGCCTGGCTTTGTCCACAGATTACAAAATACACCTACCAGCACATCTACAGCTCACTGCTTCACATGTCAAATCTCAAATGCGACCTGTCATCTGCTTCTAATCCACAGGGCCCGCAGGTTTCACTGGTGCTAAAGGAGAAAGGGGCCTCCCAGGGCCACAGGGCCCCGACGGCAGCAACGGTAGACCTGGTAATCCCGGGCCGCGAGGTGAACAGAACTAATTATTGTTTAAGATTTTTATTAGCTACCAGCAATGGTGGGGCCAAGTCATTGTTTTACAAGTCTCAAGTCTTAGCATTCAAGTCCCAAATTGAGACCAGTTGAGACAGGCAAGTCCGAATCAAGTCTCAAGTCCTAAATTTTGAGTTACGGGTCCTAAAGAAGTCATAATGCACTTGTCATCAAATTTAATTTCATACTCATCATAAATTATATTTGGGCTTGAGGAGGGTATCAAGTCAGTTGAAGTCAAAAGGCTGGACAAGTCCAACTGAAGTCACGAGTCATTGGTGTTAAAGTCAAAGTCGAGAGTCTGACTCAAGTCCAAGTCATGTGACTCGAGTCCACATGTCTGGGTACCAGCACTGTAGTATCAACTCTTCGGGATCCACTGAAAACCTAACATGACAGTCAAAGTAAAACCGTTGTTGCTTACAGCCCATCATTTCCCCGAATGACGAATATCTATCAATCTATAGTCAAAGTTGACTGTTGATGAATGTGTGTCTGTTAGGACTTCCTGGAGACCCCGGCAGAGATGGAGTGAGAGGTCTTCCTGGTCCAATTGGACTCAAGGGTGACCAAGGAGAGATGGGGATGCCAGGTAATGTCGCCCCCCTCCCCCCACCCAACACAAACTGTGTCACAACAAACAATTTTATAAAGTGAATCATCAAAAATATGATCTGTATCTGCAGGGACTGATAGGGTTGTTGATCAGTTACTGAGTTAATATATTTTTTTTAAATATATTTGAAATTATTGAAACACTAAATTTGTCTGGAAACACAACTGGAACAATACACAGGCTTACATTTACTTCTAAAACACTCGTAACTCTCTGGAACAGTATGGAGACTTTAAGATGACAAACATTCACTGGGATGATCTCCTGGTGTTTTCTGTCCAGGTTGTAAAGGTCAGAAAGGTGACCTAGGTCCTTGTGGGCAACCTGGTTCAGATGGGCAACCAGGACTAGTTGGACCTAAAGGTCCTAAAGGAGAATCGAGTCCACCTGGACCAGGACTTAAAGGACTTCCAGGAGAGAAGGTATCACAGAGATACAGAGACACACAAACATGACTAAACATTTTTATCATTAGTGCGAGCTTAACAAATAACTCTACAATCTATCCCACTGAGACAGGAAACTGGATCAAACAATACTGTTACTTTAATAACAGCATTAAAGTATGGCTATTTACAATTTATCAGTGAAACCTACACTATATATATATATATACAGTATATATCAGTTTAAATTTATGCTGGTGTGTCAAACTAGAGGTTTATCTGGTATAATTAGTTGCAGAAAAGACAAATGGTTGGCTGGAGTGTTAATATTTATAGGATGTCTTGTAAATAATTAATTTCAGGGGTTTTTACCCCAAACCTGCTATCCTTGTATGCAGATGATGTTCTACTTTATTTTTGCCATTGCCCAACAGTGTCTACCAGTTTTTTTCCCCTCAACGATTGAATATGTTAAACTGGTTTTACATCCATTACTAATTTGATACAGCCGAAATTCTCTTCTCTGAAATTAATTTTTTTGTCACCCTTGTTTTTTTTTACAATTATTCCTTTCCCCTAATTCAGCCCGACAACCACATTTCAGGAACACATCAGGGTTTTTCCTGGCTCAGAATGGGCCTTTGGGGGGTGACTTTGCGTGACAGTAAGCATGGCCGGTACACCTATAGTAAAAGCAATGAGTCCCCTTATGACCGAAATATATATATTTTCTTGTAACTTCTGACCATTTGATAAATAAAATATATCCACAATCTGGGGGAGTAAAGGTATAAAACTAATGTATAATGTTAGTATAATAATATATTTACACTTACACTTGATTTGGATAATTTGCTTACAAATAGTTTATTAGTTGAGATTCAGCTGTTTCACAAATAAAACCCCTCTCTGATATTAGCCTACACCACAATAATTCCAGTTGGACAAAACAGTAGTTTCATTTTTGTGGGTTGTTTTCAGTTATTCAATTATTGTGCAAGACAAATGCTGTACTTGGTGGTCAGTCTCTCTTTTGTTTATGCAAAGTAGCCTACTAACTCGTCAGTAATAAAAACCTTGCATACAGAACAAATAGTTTTGCGAAAAGTGACTTTGATGAGCTTTATACACAGAGCTGCATGAAAGGCTTCCGATCTCCCTGCAGAGATCAGCAGGCAGGAGAGAACGGGAACAGGTGAGCGTCATGTAGAGCCCAGAGAACCTGATCTGGAGAGGGCAGAGGAGAGGATCGGTGCTGGACCGCCAAAGAGTAAAATGTAAAAGGGACAGTACCGGTGAACATTTTGGGGCAAGTTACTCAGAAATTGTAATATATTGTTAGTTAATTATTACTCCTTAAAAAAGTAATATTATTACTTTACTTATTACTGGGTGATAAAAATAACGTTATGTTACTAGTTATGTTACTATATTACTTTTCAGTGTTTCCCACAGAATGACGGGGAGAGGGGTATTCTAACGTTAGACAGGTTTGTGCAGCGGTGTTCACTAGAGAGAGGGAGAAAGAGGGAGTGAGCTGAGCCAGGAGTTGCTGCACGAATATATGCTCCTCAATACAGCTCAAAAATAAATTTAAATACGCCTAGTAAAATTTTAGAAAATCAATGTGGCGGTCCGCGTTGATAATTATCCAAATTATTGGCTAATAATGGGAAACACAGCTTTCACTACCACCGCCCTTCACACCCAAACAAAGCAGTCTCCTGACTTTTTTACATCATATCCATAACAGCAGCAAGGAGTGTGGTTTTTCCAAAGCATATAGCCTAGTCCTGACATTTCCTAACACCACCGGCTGAAATAAAAAAATAAAGCAAGTAAATCCAGACTTTTAAACAGCGGTTTTACTGCACATGTAGCCTGTTTATAAGAGCAGTATTCAGTAGTTACAAAACGTTACGTTAACGCCGCTTTCTCCCGAGCATCAGTGACAGCAGCTGCTGGAGTTTCTTTGTACAAGTTTCACGTTGCTGTGCTGCTTCAGCAGATGCTTCAATAAATCAGATGTAGAAATGTTAATGGTTGAAAGATCTTTGCTGGTCGCACAGAGTTTACAGTAGACGACAATGTTCTTTGCATCTTAGACTGACACAATGTCGTGGATTTACGTCAAGGATGGTGCGTTCAGTAACGGGTAACGCAGCATTAGTAACTAGTAATAATATTACTGTTTAAGAAAAGTAATTAGTTACACTACTAGTTACTGGGGATAGTAATATGTTACTAGTAATGCGTTACTGCCCAACACTGCTGGTGAATACCAGCACACTTCAAGCAAAACAGCTATTATATTGTGAAAAATAACAGGAAGTCATCTCTCCCAGTAGTGCAAGCTTTGTAGCGGAGCGTTCTGCGCAGTCAAACCAACACAGCAGCTGGTTTATTAATCCAGCGCCAGCTGCATGTGTAAAACTAAACAGCGCTGTGGAAAAACCCTGCACATGCTGTTCTAAGCTTCTTTCTAAGTTTATTTTGGTAAAAGAATAATTAGATAAATGAAGAATAAATAAATGGAGAGTTTCGTATTTAACCCCTGACACAAAGACTTTCAGGAGCATACAAAAAAGAGCAAAAGATTAAAAAACACACTTTGTCTCCTCTTTATTTATTTATATGTTTCAATCATTTGAAATACTCTGTTATAGATGTAAAAGCTCCTTTAAGATATGTGTAAATTGAAACAACAATAAAGTGCCTTCTCCTCCTCACAGGGGATTCCAGGATGTCTTGGATTTCCTGGTGTGAAGGGGAAACAAGGGGAAAGTGGAAACATAGGTCCACCAGGAAATTGTGGCCCCTGTGGCCCCAAAGGGCATGTTGGACCCCCAGGATTCAGAGGTCCAATTCATCACAGTTTATTCATCATCTGCAGTTTAAATACAGTTAATACATCAAGTCAACATAGATAACAACACCTTCCTCAAGCTGAATGAAAGCCTCTGTGTCTGTCTCAGGTCAGCCTGGGCCTGCTGGTGAAAGGGGTTCTGATGGCCCTCCAGGGGAAAATGGTCCTCCGGGGCCCAACGGCCTCACAGGTACTTAAACAAGTGTTACAATACTGCCATCAGGTTTGCCATACATCCTCTCAGTGGGTTAATTATATCTTTATTTCAGGTAACAAGGGGGCTCCTGGAGATCCCGGTCCAGCTGGTCCCAGAGGAAACCAGGGACAGGATGGGATACCTGGACCTCCTGGAGAGAAAGGAGCCATGGGAGGTGAGACTGGACTGGATCTGACAGTGATCAGACAACAGTTAACGTTTCTGGTTCAGCTCATAACCCAGTCTGTTTCTTTCTCTTTTGATTGGTTAATTTTCTTTCCCCAGCTTCTGGAATTGGACCCCGAGGTCAAGATGGGGAGAAAGGTCAACCTGGTGAGTCCTCAGGTGTGATTATGAGTTTAATTTTCATTCAGAACTAAAGAAGAAGAAATAAACCACACACTCTCCACCTCATGTGGTCTCCTCAGGGTGTGCTGGTGAGAAGGGTCCTCCTGGCCCCTGTGGTCCTCCTGGTCCATGTGGTCCTGCGGGAGACCCAGGTTGTCCTGGTCCTCCTGGACCACCTGGTCTTCCTGGTTGTTCTGGCAGCGAGGGAATCTGCACTGAAGGAGGCAAAGGAGAAACTGGATTCCCTGGAGTACAAGGACCCAAAGGTGATGAGACACATTGAGTAGATGAAACAAAGAGCTGACTGACAAAACAATCCCACATTGAGGTCCATTCGGTACGTGTTCTGGAGCTTATGATCTTGATGTTCAAAGTCCCATTCCTCTGAGCACTTTCTGGACCCTGAGAGGATCAGATCAAAGAGGCCCACAGGAGGAAGAAGGCCAACTATCAGGTCCTGGTGATGGAGAGCTCACTGTTTACCCACAGAGGTGGGATGTAGATGCTTTGCGAATAGGAGAGCTATCAGGACCACATCACAGAACCACACTCTGGATCAGAAGAGAGATCTGTGGGGTATTGTTGACACAAGTCAGGGTCTCATCAGCTCTCACTGGGTCGTCTGGGTGAGGGTATTGTTGAATCCAAGGTCACGTCATTGATGATGTGTCCCAGTGCACTGAAGGCTCATCTTGGAATCTGGTTTATGACCAAATGCATGCACAACTATTGACATTCTCATCAACCTCAGCTGTACTTTGATGTTAAGGTTTAGTTTAAATCGCCGCTGTGTCTGTGTACAGCCTCACAGAGCCGCTAGCATGGCTGTAGACTCACAACACAACAGCAGTTTAGCTCATTTGGCCCATTACTGCCTTTTAGTTCTGGCCAATAAAAATCATATAATCATAAATCTGTATCATCTGCATAGAAAGGCAGATAAGCTAGATTTCATTACATGATACGTGGCTCTAAATGAAGGTTTGAAGAACAAGATTGCTGAATCTGAGGGAGCCAATATGTGAAAATAATCAAGTCTCTCTCTCTCTGTAGGTCCGCCGGGCTGTCAGGGTCCTCCTGGTCCTCCAGGTCCTGGTTTTAAAGGAGATAAGGGATGTAACGGAGCAACAGGTGACCCAGGACCATCTGGTGGCCCTGGTGACCCTGGCTTACCAGGATACCCGGTCAGTGCATCCCATAGTTATAATGAACCACAGAAACTCAACTAAGTCCATACGAACTCAGTGTCCAATCATCTTTTACTGGAAGATTGGAAGGATCTAGTAAGATTTAGAGCAGAATATAAGATTTATTGCTGAACAGAATCAAATGTGTGTTGGATTAAACAGCATAGTCTTTAAACACAGCTGTGAGGGAATTTAACACAAGTGTCATCGTTAACAGGGTAGGGATGGACCGCCAGGCACATGTGGACACAAAGGCCTGATGGGACCAGATGGTATCAAAGGACCTGTTGGTAAGAACTCCAATCAGATAACCAGTAAAATGAACAACTCCAAACCAGGAGTGCCCTCTGCGAAACACGTACATTCATCAGTCAGCGTCCATGGTGTTTTACAGCCGGCGGTGACGTCCTGTGAAGTCAAATGTTTTTATTGGGCAATTTAACATTAACCTCTGTGGGCTCCTTGTGTGTTCCAGGTCAGAAAGGGGAGTGCGGACCCCCAGGTAACTGCGGACCACCGGGATGTCCAGGACCACCTGGGAGGAGCGGTAACAGTGACATAACACAGTGCATAGCAAACGGTCCAATCACAGCAGCCACACACCTGAACACTGCTGCGACACAGTACTACTGAGCACTTACACTACAGTGTACTGCGTCGGGTGTGTAGGAGCCAGAATAGCAGTTTTTTTTTGTAATGTAAAGAACAATAGTTAGAATTCCAAGACGTCACATATTTTTGGTTATAGTTCAGTGATTTTAATTGATAGCTAGGCCACTGATTGGTAAACCAGCCACACCATAGTAATTGTGGGTTTCGTGTAATAAATAAAGGGAAGTTGGGAAGTCCTAGCTTTAGTTGAGATCAAACACTGTACTGAATACTGTGTGCTGGTAGAAACACCAAATGTAGTGCTGAACACTGCTCCCTGCAGGCAAGAAAGGGAAAGACGTACCCATTGAGGTGTTGGCGACGCCAGGAGATAAAGGCTCAGCTGGAGATCCAGGACCCAAAGGACAAATCGGACCCCCAGGGGCTCCAGGGAGACCTGGAGGTCCAGGTGAGTCTTGAAGTCTCAATCTTCAGGTTTTAGGTGTGAGCAGCGTAAATGCTGTTTTAGATACAAACGGCGTAAATGGATTTTTAGAAGCAGTTCTATGTTTTGCGGCTGCAGGTCTTAAGGGCAGCGGAGGAAGTGATGGTAAAAAAGGACAGGGTGGTCGTCCTGGACTGAAAGGGGACAAGGGAGAACAAGGATTCCCCGGACAAAAGGGTAGGAAATCTGATGTTTTGTTAGCAGAACCTCAAAACAAACACTGGAAATACTTCAGGCTCTGTAAATTAAAGGGAGTTTAGAGAGTTTCTTATTGTTCATTAATTTTTTTGTCATTGATTTTAAACTTGTGCAGAACATTTTAAACAGTCCCAAATGCTCACTAGTTCTCTGATAACTCAAGCCTTGTCTGGACTTCCCTGGATTCTTGAGGGCTGCCCACATTTATTTTTGTAGACGTGTTTTTCTTTATTTTTGATGCATAGGTTCATCAGTATGAATAGTTTAATTAGTTTTGTAGTTTATTTAAAATGGACACTTGCTACAGTACAAAATTGACTCCACTATAAATTGATAACTGTGCTCCGGACTGTCCTCGATCTGAGACGCCCGATTGAGCCGCTGGACGATCATCAGACATCCTGACTCTGTATTGACAGGTTCCGCAGGTCAACGAGGTGACGTCGGCCGTAAAGGCATTAAGGGTAATCAAGGTTTCTGCGAGAGTGCACCAGAGATGGACGGCTTCATTTTCACCAGACACAGCCAGGAACGCAATATCCCAGAATGCCCTGCAGGATCGGCTCAGATATACGACGGATACTCGCTGCTGTTCATCAACGGAAACAACCGAGCTCACGGACAAGACTTGGGTATGAGACCAGTGGGGAAACATAGCTCAGTACATTTACTCAAGCACTGTACCTATGAACGGGTTTAAGGTACTTGTACTTCATTTGAGTATTTTATTCTACATACTACTTTTCAGAAGGACATCATAGTTTTTCTCTTTTACATGGAACAGCAGTAGCTGCTGATGACTTTGCTCATAAATAAAAAAAAATAATATGATAATAAATAAAGATAATAATAAAAAGAATAAATTAAATAAATAAACAAATAAAACATACTTTACAAAAACAGTCTCTCTCTCTCTCTCTTCAGGTACATTAGGGAGTTGTTTACCTCGTTTTACCACCATGCCCTTCCTGTTCTGTAGCCCTGACAGCACCTGTCTCTACGCCGAACGCAATGGCTACTCCTATTGGCTGTCCACCGATGAAGCACTGCCAAGCGGCGAGCCGTTCATCTCCGAGGAAATGCTGGAGAAATACATAAGCCGGTAACACATACACACACCAAACAATGAGCTGTTTGTTTGTTTCCCGTGTTGAAGGTGTATTGTTTTGTGTTTTTCCCGTGTTGAAAGTGTATTGTTTTTTGTATTTCCCGTGTTTTGAAGGCGTATTGTTTTGTGTGTTTCCCGTGTTGAAGGTGTATTGTTTTGTGTTTTTCCCGTGTTGAAAGTGTATTGTTTTTTGTATTTCCCGTGTTTTGAAGGCGTATTGTTTTGTGTTTTTCCCGTGTTGAAGGTGTATTGTTTTTTGTATTTCCCGTGTTTTGAAGGCGTATTGTTTTGTGTGTTTCCCGTGTTGAAGGTGTATTGTTTTGTGTATTTCCCGTGTTGAAGGCGTATTGTTTTGTGTGTTTCCCGTGTTTTGAAGGCGTATTGTTTTGTGTGTTTCCCGTGTTGAAGGTGTATTGTTTTGTGTGTTTCCCGTGTTGAAGGTGTATTGTTTTTGTGTTTCCCGTGTTGAAGGCGTATTGTTTTGTGTGTTTCCCGTGTTGAAGGTGTATTGTTTTTTGTGTTTCCTGTGTTGAAGGCGTATTGTTTTGTGTGTTTCCCGTGTTTTGAAGGCGTATTGTTTTGTGTGTTTCCCGTGTTTTGAAGGTGTATTGTTTTGTGTGTTTCCCGTGTTGAAGGTGTATTGTTTTGTGTGTTTCCTGTGTTGAAGGCGTATTGTTTTGTGTGTTTCCCGTGTTGAAGGTGTATTGTTTTTTGTTTTTCCCGTGTTGAAGGCGTATTGTTTTGTGTGTTTCCTGTGTTGAAGGCGTATTGTTTTGTGTATTTCCCGTGTTGAAGGCGTATTGTTTTGTGTATTTCCCGTGTTGAAGGTGTATTGTTTTGTGTATTTCCCGTGTTGAAGGTGTATTGTTTTTTGTTTCCCGTGTTGAAGGCGTATTGTTTTGTGTATTTCCCGTGTTGAAGGTGTATTGTTTTGTGTATTTCCCGTGTTGAAGGTGTATTGTTTTTTGTTTCCCGTGTTGAAGGCGTATTGTTTTGTGTTTTTCCCGTGTTGAAGGCGTATTGTTTTGTGTGTTTCCTGTGTTGAAGGCGTATTGTTTTGTGTATTTCCCGTGTTGAAGGCGTATTGTTTTGTGTATTTCCCGTGTTGAAGGTGTATTGTTTTTTGTTTCCCGTGTTGAAGGCGTATTGTTTTGTGTTTTTCCCGTGTTGAAGGCGTATTGTTTTGTGTGTTTCCCGTGTTGAAGGTGTATTGTTTTGTGTATTTCCCGTGTTGAAGGTGTATTGTTTTGTGTGTTTCCCGTGTTGAAGGCGTATTGTTTTGTGTGTTTCCCGTGTTGAAGGCGTATTGTTTTTTGTGTTTCCTGTGTTGAAGGTGTATTGTTTTGTGTGTTTCCCGTGTTGAAGGCGTATTGTTTTGTGTGTTTCCCGTGTTGAAGGTGTATTGTTTTGTGTATTTCCCGTGTTGAAGGCGTATTGTTTTGTGTGTTTCCCGTGTTTTGAAGGCGTATTGTTTTGTGTATTTCCCGTGTTGAAGGTGTATTGTTTTGTGTGTTTCCCGTGTTGAAGGCGTATTGTTAGGGCCCGAGCACGAACTCCTCCTAGGGATTTAGTCGGATCGACGTCAAATTTCTGCTGTGCCTTCTAAAGGCATTGACTATGAAAAGTTGTGCTATTTGCGAGTTTTCGTCAATGGGCGTGTCCGTGGCGTCGATGATTCGCAATGAAACAGGAAGTTGTTGTAACTTCAGTGTACATGCTCACATCCGGACCAAAGTGTACATGTAGGATGAGAGTCCAGCCCTGAACACATGTACATGCCGACATTCACCCACAGTCATAGCGCCACCTGCTGGCAACAGAAAGTGACCTTTAACGAAGCAGCCCCCGCCGCACGTTTCACCTACGTGCACGAATTTTCTGTGGTACGTGTATCTTGTCCAGACGCACAAAAAAGTCTCTTGGAGCATTAGCCTAAACCCAACAGGAAGTCGGCCATTTTTAATTTTACGTCAAATTTTGGATGATTTACACACTTCGTACTTTAACGAACTCCTCCTAGGGATTTAGTCCGACCGACCTCAAATTTCTGCTGTGCCTTCTAAAGGCATTGAAGATGAAAAGTTGTGCTATTTGCAAGTTTTCGTCAATGGGCGTGTCCGTGGCGTGGCGTCAAAGATCAACTCTTCGCCATGACACGGAAGTTGTCGTATCTTCAGTGTATATGCTCACATCTGGACCAAACTGTACATGTAGGATGAGAGTCCCGCCCTGAACACATGTACATGCCGACATTTACCCACAGTCATAGCGCCACCTGCTGGCAACAGGAAGTGACTTTTAACGAAGCAGCCCCCGCCGCACGTTTCACCTACGTGCACGAATTTTCTGTGGTATGTGTATCTTGTCCAGACGCACAAAAAAGCCTCTTGGAGCGATGCCCCTAAAACCAACAGGAAGTCGGCCATTTTTAATTTTACGTCAAATTTTGGATGATTTACACACTTCGTACTTTAACGAACTCCTCCTAGGGATTTAGTCCGACCGACCTCTGCTGTGCCTTCTAAAAGCATTGAAGATGAAAAGTTGTGCTATTTGCGAGTTTTCGTCAATGGGCGTGTCCGTGGCGTGGCGTCAAAGATCAACTCTTCGCCATGACACAGGAAGTTGTTGTAACTTCAGTGTACATGCTCACATCTGGACCAAACTGTACATGTAGGATGAGAGTCCCGCCCTGAACACATGTACATGCCGACATTCACCCACAGTCATAGCGCCACCTGCTGGCAACAGGAAGTGACTTTTAACGAAGCAGCCCCCGCCGCACGTTTCACCTACGTGCACGAATTTTCTGTGGTACGTGTATCTTGTCCAGACGCACAAAAAAGCCTCTTGGAGCAATGCCCTAAAACCAACAGGAAGTCGGCCATTTTAAATTTTATATCAAATTTTGGATGATTTACACACTTCGTACTTTTACAAACTTCAAATTTGTGCTGTTTCTTCTAAAAGCATTGAAGATGAAAAGTTGTGCTATTTGCGAGTTTTCGTCAATGGCCGTATCCGTGGCGTGGTGTCAAAGATCAACTCTTCGCCACGACACAGGAAGTTGTTGTAACTTCAGTGTACATGCTCACATCTGGACCAAACTTTACGTGCTTTATAACTCTCCCACCCCGCTATGGAGGACCGATCCTGACAAAGTCAGAAATAAATACAGAAATAAATAAGTGCTCAATAAATAAATAAGCATCCAATTAAATACACAAAAAAATAAAGCAAATAAATAAATGTAGGTAGTAATTAAATTATACAAGGAGACATAAATGTATATTTTAATTAGTGCCTTTACTTATTCACCTTTGTTATAATTACCTTATTTATTTATTCTCCGTTATAATCTTCAACTTTATTTATTACTAATTTTTTTAATACATTTATTTATGTGTGTTTTAATATTTTTGTCTGTTTTATTCTTCCTTTGTATTTTTCTACCTTATTATTTTCACCCATGGTATTTATTTCTGCCTGTCCTTTTTAAATTTCTGTCTCATTATGCAAATGAGGAGGGGCTGTGTCTCAAGGGGTCATCTTCTCTGCTATTGGTGGACCAGTCAAACAGGAGAGCTCCTACTCTGCCTGCAGACATCAACGATCTTGCCCCTCACACAGTCAGATGGCTTCCTTCAGTGCGCTGAAGTGTTTAACAACTCTGAAGACACTACCAGCCATGTCTTCCTTCTCTTTTCACGTAGACGCTCCGACAGACAGTGCTTTCAGTTTGCTGCATGCATGGACACAGAACTGCGGTATAGGGAGAAGCACACGGTCAGCTGGCTGCAGCTAAATCTGGAGTGCACTCGTATTCAATTCTGTATGGTAAATTCAGTTTTAACGGAGCAGAGCGAGCTGACAGGCAGAGTTAGAGACTTTTTCTGTCCGTTTCTCTCTTTACAAAGACGCATGTTGCAGTCAGAGTCTTCTCTGAGATGTGAGCACGACATACAACACAATTTATCAAATTACACAACGGATATACAGTATGAAAATAAGATTCATTGGATTATACTCACAGGAAGTATAAAACCTCTTACATGGGTCTATTAAAAGTAAAGTAACACAAAAATGTCCGGGAAATTACTTAGATTTAAGTACTGCAGTTGTACATTTGAAATACCTTCCTACCTTTCTGATAGGAAGCCTTCTTGAGGTGGTATAAAACATTTCTTCTTATATTCTGATTTGAGTTGTGGACAACTATGACCACATGAATTAAAAAAATTAAACATTTCACTGCCCAAGTCAGCTATAACACAAGTCTTGATCATCAGACTACATGCTGTACAGTATTTGTGGACAGATTTTGTCCCAGGATTTATTATGCATTTCTTCTTCTCGTTGCATGATTTAGAATAATAAGGTGAGAAATGGGTCTATTCTGAGTTCATCCTGCACTGCAGCAGCTAATAAAGTCCATTTAATCCCAAAAACGCTTTTCTTTTAGGCAGGCTGGAGCAGAAAACAACTCACCTTTCTCAAGTTGTACAGTAATGTCACATGTGTATGAAGGTGGATCAAACAAGCTAATCTTAAATGTCAAAGTAGAGAGGAGCCTAGTAGGCCTATTTATTTTCATTCATTACACAATATGAATAAGCTATGCAGACAGTTGTAAAGAAAGAACATCTTTTTCTTCTGTTCTCTACTTGTTATAGTTACACAGTATTAGGGGTGTGGGCTGTATTAAAAGTATCCACTGTTCTCACATGCTCTAACACACAGTAACGATGAAATGAGTGCTGTTCTCACATTCTTCCTCTGTATGTACACATAAACAACAAGGCAGGGAAATATAAAAGGAATTTATTTTATTGTTTGGGTACATTATTGTTCAGTGTACATGCTCACATCTGAACCAAACTTTGCGTGCTTGATAACTCTCTGACCCCAGACATCTACACGTCAATACCGATTTATATTCATAGCGGCAAGTGCTATGTAGCTCCACATAGGGGACACAGGAAGTGACATATAGCACATTCATGCGGCGTCGGAACCGCGTAGGAAATTCACAGCCGCACCGGCAGAGCTCCAGAATATGCAACTCGGCCGGTTCACGCGCGGACGCGCTACAAGTGCGAGGGCCCGCCCAACGCTGCTTGCAGCTTTAATTTTGTGTGTTTCCCGTGTTGAAGGTGTATTGTTTTGTGTGTTTCCCGTGTTGAAGGAGTATTGTTTTGTGTTTTTCCCGTGTTGAAGATGTATTGTTTTGTGTGTTTCCCGTGTTGAAGGTGTATTGTTTTGTGTGTTTCCCGTGTTTTGAAGGTGTATTGTTTTTTGTGTTTCCCGTGTTGAAGGCGTATTGTTTTGTGTGTTTCCCGTGTTGAAGGTGTATTGTTTTTTGTGTTTCCCGTGTTGAAGGCGTATTGTTTTGTGTGTTTCCCGTGTTGAAGGTATATTGTTTTGTGTGTTTCCTGTGTTGAAGGCGTATTGTTTTGTGTGTTTCCCGTGTTGAAGGCGTATTGTTTTGTGTGTTTCCCGTGTTGAAGGTGTATTGTTTTGTGTGTTTCCCGTGTTTTGAAGGCGTATTGTTTTGTGTGTTTCCCGTGTTGAAGGCGTATTGTTTTGTGTGTTTCCCGTGTTGAAGGTGTATTGTTTTGTGTGTTTCCTGTGTTGAAGGCGTATTGTTTTGTGTGTTTCCCGTGTTGAAGGCGTATTGTTTTGTGTGTTTCCCGTGTTTTGAAGGCGTATTGTTTTGTGTGTTTCCCGTGTTGAAGGCGTATTGTTTTGTGTGTTTCCCGTGTTGAAGGTGTATTGTTTTGTGTGTTTCCCGTGTTGAAGGTATATTGTTTTGTGTGTTTCCCGTGTTGAAGGCGTATTGTTTTGTGTGTTTCCCGTGTTGAAGGTGTATTGTATGTGAGGCCAGAGCCAACGTGATCGCGGTCCACAGTCAGACCAGAACGCTGCCAGACTGTCCTTCAGGCTGGGACCCTCTCTGGTCAGGATACTCCTTTGTAATGGTGAGCTGATATTGTCGGATCGAGTTCATTTGGGCTGTTCTTATTTAAAATGTACATTTAAAGTAAAATCAATTTTCATAATTGACACATTAATGTGTTTGTAGTCAGTTAGGTTTGTTCCATCAGTCAGATGATTGAGTGGCCAGTTTTTCCCATTAATTAACGAGACCCGTCACAGTCTAATTTGCTGCGCCATAGTTTCAAAATAACCCGAAAATATTACACATATCATAATAACATTACAGACCTCTAACGTTGTGTTTTGTGGGTGCTGCTGTAAGCTTGCACAAGACAAGCTCACCCGACACAAGACAACGGCTGTATTCAGAACCGCCTACTACATACTACTGGCAACAGCAGTATGCAGTATGTACTGCATACTGTTTGAGGTATAGTATGTAGTATGAAACTGATATATAGATTCATTTTGCTGCATGCTAGGCCAGGCTTTACTAGTTTCCGGTTGAAACGTATTCTTTTTTTAAAATCTGTATGAGAACAAGGCTGCAGCCGAGCTGTAGCTGATGTTTGCTTCGGTATACTGGTGGATAAATAAGAATTATATAAAATAAAAGCAAATAAAAAGCAAGTACTATAACCACAACTGTAACATTACACCAACAATGTAATGTCTATTTAGAATAATAATAAAGCGACAACAGTCCCCTTTCATACCACTATTGTTGTTTATTTTTTAGTGCTTTTAAAGTGCTTCTAAGTTACACAAGCCTGCCCATCACGAGCCAGATGTCTCTTGATTAAAGTTAAAACGTTACAACGTTTACAGACTGTAAAGACAGAATAACAGCGGTAAGAACTTTTAAACTGTCTCACAGTTGGGGGTCTTTCCTCTCACATTGTTGCTGGACTCGTCTGCTGCGTTGGTCCAATCACCAATGTGTCCCTGAGCAAGACACTTAACCCCTTGTTGCTCCAGAGGCGTGCGACCTCTGACATGTCTAGCAATTGTAAGTCGCTTTGGATAAAAGCGTCAGCTAAATGAATAAATGTAATGTAATGCATACTACATTTGGGCGGTTTTGAATACAGCCCACCACTTTTCTTTTGAGGTAACTACGGTAACGTTAACCGTCTGTTTCTCTCACTCGTCTGTGAGAAGGTGATTAAGCTAGCCGTGCCTGCATTTGGAGTGAACGCACAGAGGTCTTTAAATGCTGACGAACGCCTCACTCAAACACACAAATGTGGTTATTGAAAGCATGAAATAAAAGAACATAACTAACTCTCTTCCAAAACCAGGATAAAACACAACTTTAAATATGACGAATTGTAATAAAAAAGAAGTGCATTTGACTGCCTTTTTTTGCCCTGGATTTTGCCTCTCAGGCTACTCAAAGGCTTCCCTACCTCTATGAATGAAGGTTGTGGCTGTTTGCAGCCTGAAAGAAAGACTGACAGACAGAACTCAGGGCTAAAAACAAGGCTTTTGTTTTTCGGGGTTAAAGTTATTTAATCTGTGTTGTTAATTACAGTTAATATTTGAAAGTATTTATTTATTCTTAATTTCATTGTGCCATAATGTAAGAAACACATCAGAAGATGTTTCCACTGCTCAGGTTTCACTTATTTTTGTTATCTGAGGTGAGTTCAGGACCTGAATCAGCGTGGTTCAGATCTGATATGAGCACTGTTTTCTGGTCTGAAGCCATAGACTCTGTTCTTCCTCGTCTCAGAGATACAGATGTGTTGCTTTGACCTTGCTGCTGGTCTTTAGGAAACAGGAGTGGGGGCGGAGGGGTCGGGTCAGCCTCTGGCCTCTCCTGGATCCTGTCTGGAAAACTTCAGAAAGGTTCCCTTCATCGAGTGTCACAACAAAGGAACCTGCAACTATTACACCGACTCCTACAGCTACTGGCTGGCTGCTCTCAACCCCAGCGACATGTTCAGGTACGCTACACCTCCCTGCATGTTGTCAAGTTACACACGACACCTTTTAAACTGCTCGATAAATAACATCTTCAGAAATGCAACAGTGTGTTTAGGGATGAAACGTGTTCAGGTGCACACCAGCTCCATTTCTTTGAAATTTGTTTGGATTTGTATCATTTAAAGGGGCATTATGTAGTTTTCAGCGGGCACTAGCGGTGCGGTTTTAAGAGTGCTACCAGGCGTGTGCTCGTACGCGTGCAAACATGGACTCATGAGCGAGCATAATCCAAAACACAACCGCTGTCATACAGAAATCCTGCAATTAACGCAGAAACACCAGCATGCAGGCTGTGGCTTTTCGCTCAGATATGTTCAGGCTCTGTTACTTCAACGTTCCCACCGTACCTTTCATTCAGAGACACCGGCTTTTCGGCACAATCCTCCTGAAAAAAGGCAGAGTGACAGCAGCTATAGACAGACAGGGAGGCAGCTTCACACAACATGCAGGAAACTCCGCTAAACTCCCACTGCAACGTTACAGTAATAGTTTTATCAGCTGCAGGCTGAACTAATCCACGCTCATTACATGATCACGCTACATTTACTGCATTTAGCCGACGTGCTACATCGTTAGCTCGCCTGCTGCTTTCAGTAACTTCATCATCTGTGTATCTTTCACCGGAGGCTCAGCGATGTCAGCACAGCTACATGTACTGGATGATAATAAACGGTTAGTGAGATTATCTGGACTGAATATTATAACGAGATTGTGTCACTCTTTATAACAGTTAAACCGCAGTAAGTAAGGTGACCAGATTTCTGAAATGAAAACCGGGGACATTTTTGGTTTGGTGGTCAGTATGTCATAATAAAATAAATAACATAAAAAAAGGGGGACAATTGTGGTTTTGTCAAATATAATATAATCTGACCCTCATGAATATAATCAAGTCATTTCAGGGAAGAAATAACCTTCCAGTCAATAAGAAGAGGCTGCAGTCACTTTCTGAGAAGTGGAATACTGCATTTTTTGTGTTGTTTTGGCCATTTAAAAGTATTTTAACAGGTAAAACAGCCTGGATTTGTTGGTACTCAGCAAGTTAAATAATGTAGAGTAATAAGGATAATTGCAAAAGAGATCATGTCTTTATTTTATATGTAACTCAGCAGTAAGTCATGTTAATAATAGGCTACAGTCTGTTTTCTAAATGTAAATAAGGATATTAGACATACGCCAAACATATAATCCGTCGGCAACAACAGGCTTCTGTTATTGGCTATAATCACTAAATGTCCGGCCTGGTTACGCTATAAACTGCAAACACTTAATCGACCACAATTGTGATTATTCCATTAAAAGAAAGTGTCACAAAGACATACTTTTGCTATTACCACCACCGTAAAGTGATGTTTATTAGCACGTTATGTCTGTTTGACACAAATGCAGCTGTAACTAAGTCGTAAAGTGACTGAGCTTTAACATGCTGCACAGAAATCAGATTTCCGTGGGCGATCACTTTTCGGCATGACACCTGTGTGCTCTGCTGTCCAGTGATTCTGCCAATCTGATTTCAGGTCTGTTAACACCTTACACAGTAGTGATGTGCGGATCGACACCAACTTTTCCTGCTCTGGGATCGATACTCATATAAAAGGATCGATATCTAAACTCAGTCATTTGGAGTGAGCGTGTGTTTTATCATAAGTATCTAACTGTCACCAGGACGGTCTAATTATAGTCTACTCGGTTGGTAGGAACTACTTTTCCTTCTGCCTGTCAAAGTCATGCCTGCTCTACGGCTCTGTGATGGAGCTTCTCTGAAGTGAGCCGCTGCAGCCCTTCACATTTCCCGAGATTGAATACTGACTCTGGCTGACTGTAAACAGTCACGTCTGGCTGTATTTAGCTGTGAAGGTAATAATGACGCTGTGTGTGATGTGTGTGCAAAGACAGTGAAATACTTTGGCAACATTGCAAACTTCGCTAAACATCTGAGATTAAGTCACAATAATATGATGATGTTATGAAGCGGCAGTTCTGAGCAGGAGATTTTCATTATAACTCACGAAGATGACAATAGTTTGATGTCTTGTCATTATGCAGCTATTATTTTGAATGGGTAAGGCTACAGGCTGCTCCTTATTTCTCTCATAAATACAGAAACTAGAAATAAAATATGTAATAAGTATCGGTGTTATCGGTAATACCAGCCTGGGTGTTACTTGATATTGGATCGGATAGGAATTAAGTGGTATCACACATCACTATTACACAGTCTATGTAATATGATTAACACACAGTTAAAAACGGGGACATTTCTGGGGACAGCTCCAGACGGGGAGAGGCCACCAAAACCGGGGACTGTCCCCGGTAAACGGGGACGTCCGGTCACCCTAGCAGTAAGTAACTTTACTGCAGTGTCAGTGGACGGCTCTTCCTCTGGGTTGTATATTATGTGAGTGATGTTAGTTACAGCGACTGAGAGGTGGAGCAGCTGTGTACCTGGGTATTGGTAAAACCACGATAAAGCTAAACTGAATGTTACGAAGCAAACGGCAGCAGGTCCGAGCTACTGTAGCGTTAGCTAGCTGCTCCTGGCTGCATCGCTATAGGCTAACGTTAGTAAACAAATCGCTCCACATTTGCTTTTCACCGTTACATCCTTTCAGGCTAAATCAACAGTGGTACACAGGATAGTAACACTGGTGGCGTTAGTTGGTGAAGTAATGTGGAAAGCGATAGAACTTTGCACCTGCTCAGCGTTAGACGATGAGCTAACGTGACTTTCTCTGTGTTTCTGCAGCTTTACTAATGCTCACTTTGTTCTAACTCGACATCATCTGAACCCGTTTGGTCTGATGGGCTTCAGCACATAAACCTTTATTGTAGTTTTGGATCCTTACGTGGAGCCTGTGTTTTGCTGGGAGCCGGTTGTTTTATGCTGTTAGTGGACTGCATGTCGTGAGCTGCCGTGTTGTCGCTGTAGTCTGAGAGGCTCGGGAGCGCACAGGGCTGATCCCACCCGGAGACCTCACATTAAAAGCAGAATAGTGGCTGATGGAAGCAACGGAGGAAACAGGCGTGTGCTTCATTTGTAAGTGAGTTTTGAGACCATTGACAACAAGGCAATGAGAATTTGATTTATTAAAATCAAAAACTTACGTATAGCCTCTTTAAGGTAGAGAGTGAGAGTTAGCTGTTGGCATTGGATCAATATTTTGCTCTGAAACTAGACATGTTGTTTTGCTTCTTATGTTGTGATGCAGTTTCTGTTTCTTGTTTAAATATTTAAATGAGCGGTTTTCTGATTGTAGACAGTTTTGTGAGTAACAATAAATCCACAGTCCTCCTATAAAATACTTTTGTCTGGAAACACAATAAATAATCACATTAAATCAGTATTAGGGGGTTTAATCAACAGAGGTTTTCAAAGTCGGGATTGTGGGCCTCCCCTCAGACAATGCTTGGAAAAAGAGGGTTCACTTTTACACTTTTGCCAAATAAGTTCACTACGTCAGAACTTAAAACTAACTCACGTCTGATCAGCTGTTTCTGCTGTCGGCGTCTTGCTGAATATTCCCATAACGTGCGGTGACATGGCTGGAAGCAACTTGCCCGCCTGAAACACATTTCTGAGGACCTCTCTCCATTTTTCTCAGATCAGTGGCCGTCAGGTTCATGTTAGTGTTGTAGTACTTGAGACCGGTCTTAAGACCACTTTTTGATGGTCTTGGTCTCGTCTTGGACTCGGGATTTTATTTCAAGACCAGTCAAGACCAGAACTTTGGGAATATCAATAAGTCGCTTTTGCATCGTCTGATTTATTTGTTAACATCCGAACTTTGATTGGATGTAAAACGTTTTGCTTCAAATTAAACCAGTAACCCTAATTAAAAATGTGCTGTTCCCGTTAACGCCTGCCCCCCCTCCCCGCGATGGTCAGCGTGGAAAAGGAATGTTGAATAAAGATGCTATCTTTGATTTCAGCTCTTAGTGACCTCCCACTTTGAAAACCTCCGATATATAATATTGTAAAATATGTTATTGTCAGCATCATTCAGCCTAAAGGTCAACTTTATTAGTCGATCCAACTATGACAGATATGGGTACAATAAAATATCTGTAAAACCAGAAGACTAAAAGTCAAGTGTCTGATGCAGTCGTTTGAAACGCCAGCAGAGAGCAGCGTCCTCCTGTTTAAACCAGCAGCACAGGAGCTTCAAAACAAACTGATGGGCGACGTGGGGAACTGAAACAAAAGTACATTTATCTGTTTAACTTTTCATTTAAATTAAGAAATGTCTCAGGGTCTTCATTTTAAATTGGAACAAGATAGATTTACAAGGTTTATTTATCATTATACAACACAAGGTTGTAGAACGAAACGAAGGTTTGTAGTCCCTTCATGCTGCATACACAGAACTTAACAGACAATTAAATGTGTATTTAAATATGGTAACATATATATAAATAAACATAAATGAAATATTAGTCAGTGCATTCATCAGTCCACCTCCTCTTGCGCTGACAGCTCGGAACACGGTCCATCCGCCGGGATGTTGATGGAGCCGGTCTCTGTAAAGACGTGGGCGCAACCGTCTCTGATTTCAGGTTCTTGGTCAATAGAGTCCCATTTTGTCCAGACCGAGCCTCTAAGAGCAGCCTTAAGTCCAAGCTGCTATCCCGGCTCTCTTTCCTCTTCTCTGGGGCGATCACAGCACCCGTCGTGGTACCTGGTCCGGTTGATCCGGCTGGTGGATCGTCTAAGCTCCGCTGCGCTTCAATCCAAAACCCCGTCTTTATTTTCCAACGACTGTATTTCTGTCAGAGGAAACAAGTGTTTCAGAAATAAAGCCGGAAGTGTCCGAAGGAGCTGCCGGCTGCCGTAGCGGATTAAATACATGTAATATTTATTTAATACTAATTGATTTCAATCGATTGGCTGATTCTTGTTTTGACTCTGGTTTCTGATCTCTCTCTCTGAACAACATGTTTATCTCTCGTCCTGCAGTAAACCGAGGCCTCACACTGATGCAGGAGCGTTTCCACACAGTCTGATCAGCCGCTGTCGAGTCTGTATGAAGCGACCGTGAACATCAACGCTTCTGCTGCTGATGCTACGGATACTACTGTTACTACTACTGTAAATATTACTGCTGCTAACACTACTGATATTAATACTACTGATAACGGTGCTACTTCGGCTTCTGTGAACTCACACCAGCGGTGAGCGAGTTACAGAGAACAGCTTTACGCTAATGAGCGTTGATGTGATGCAGTTTTGACCAATCAGAGGGCTCTGTTTGAGATGCAGCCTCAAAGTCCTGATCAACAGTTTATTCTCTAGGATTAGTTTTCACCATCTCAAATTTTTCTCTTGGATCACCTGTGTGCACTGTTGCTACTGCAATTACTACTTCAGCTGGTACTACTACTGATACTGCTACTGCTACTACTACTGATACTACTACTGATACTACTACTGATACTGCTACTGCTACTACTACTGCTACTACTACTGATACTACTACTGATACTGCTACTGCTACTACTACTGCTACTACTACTGATACTACTACTGATACTGCTACTGCTACTACTACTGCTACTACTACTGATACTACTACTGATACTGCTACTGCTACTACTACTGATACTACTACTGATACTGCTACTGCTACTACTACTGCTACTACTACTGATACTACTACTGATACTGCTACTGCTACTACTACTGATACTACTACTGATACTGCTACTGCTACTACTACTGATACTACTACTGATACTGCTACTGCTACTACTACTGCTACTACTACTGATACTACTACTGATACTACTACTGCTACTACTACTGATACTACTACTGATACTGCTACTGCTACTACTACTGCTACTACTACTGATACTACTACTGATACTGCTACTGCTACTACTACTGCTACTACTACTGATACTACTACTGATACTGCTACTGCTACTACTACTGCTACTACTACTGATACTACTACTGATACTGCTACTGCTACTGCAATTACTACTTCAGCTGGTACTACTACTGATACTGCTACTGCTACTACTACTGCTACTACTACTGCTACTGCTACTACTACTGATACTGCTACTACTACTGATACTGCTACTGCTACTACTACTGATACTGCTACTGCTACTGCTACTGCTACTACTACTGCTACTGCTACTACTACTGATACTGCTACTACTACTGATACTGCTACTGCTACTACTACTGATACTGCTACTTCCACAATACAAGTAACAATGTCGCAATGTCAGAAATACTTTGTACTGCTACATTAAAATACCTGCACTGAAAACAATCAAAGTAACAAAGTACGAGCGGAACAATTGTACATTGTACTCATTCCAAGTAAAACTACTGTTGTGTTAATATAAGAGATCCCATTAAACTGCAGGCAACATCAGAGTTAATGACAGTACGTTCAGTTTGAATGCAAAACTTTATACTTTAAAGTACCTGGTAAAAGATAAATGTACTGCAGTTAAAGGGAAAGTACTTCCCTCTGCGATGAATCGGAGGAAAACTGGAAATACTCAACTGACAAACTGTACTTCAGTACAACACTTATAAATAAATATAAAATAAATAAGCACCTTCTTATTTACTACAACAGCTACTAAAAGTACCCTGCAGTAGTAGTACTAGTAGTAGTAATCCTGACTCTTATTCTCCTTTTGTTGAAGTATTAAGACTATTATCACTCCTCCGACTACTAATACTAACAGCACGATGATTCAGCGCAGTATTACGTGCAGAATAAAGTGCAGTGTAACGGCTCTTGTCACCCCGGGGCTGAGTCAGTTAATGCGACTGTGTTCGGGCCTGTTCACGTCGTGGTCACTGGGAGGCTGCTGAGTGCAGTTTCGTTGCCGCTCCCCGTAATCAGTAGCTGCAGTAGCTCAGTCCGTAAGGATTAGGCTGGGAGGATCCGGACCAGAGTTGTGGAGCGTGGACCGGTAGCTGGAGAGGTACCAGCTCACCTCCTGGGCACCTTGAGCAAACCCCTGAAACCCCAACTACTGACATCTCTCCGTGTGTTGTTGCATGTGTATTTCAGACCTGTGTGTGTGTGTGTATACTAACAACAATAATGACACCAGAGATTTCCCCTTGTGGGATTAATAACGTATGTCTTCTTCTTCAATCATTCCACGCCGGATCCCCTGGCCTGAAAACCTCCACTTTACTAGTGCTGCTATTATCTACACATCTAACTGATGCTACTGTAGTACTACTGCTCTCACTACTGTCACAGCTACTAATACTACTAATCCTACTACCATGAGTGGGACTGCAGTACCTCCCTCTGCCAGAGGAGGGCAGAGCTGAAACACCGCAGAAGAAGTAGATTTGGTCCAGCTGCAGTTCCTCTGACGGCCACCAGATGGAGCGCCATGAAAACTTGAAGTGACTGAGAAAAACCCATTTGTTTCCCTGCACAGCGACAGAGTGAGGAGCTCTCTGATTGGATGAGTCTGACAGGAATGCATTCTGGGACTCGTAGTTGTCTTCTTTATTAAGCAACGCCATTGAAGAGAGTGTACAAATACACATCATTTAATAATAATAAGTGTTAACAGCCACATTATCTTCAGAGGCGATCCTGTTCTCAGTTGTACATACTCTTATCTTTGTTGGTAAACTCTACTCATATATTATGATAAACTGGGATAACATTATTTTTGTTTTGTGAATATGACTCCTATTGGATTTAATAAAATATGTTGTTTTACAGACGTCACTTCCTGTTTAATCATTTTCAAAAAGGTTCAAATGTGCCACAAAACACATCTGATCTTTGTGCAGGTAAAAGGGCAGGTTCACATTAAAAGAAGTGGACGCAGGCCGCTGTGACGTCACCCGTTGGTTTGCGGACTTCCGTTTTGAAGCCTCAAGTTTGCCAGTTTGGCCGCCACCGTGTAATTTTTTGCAACCTGCAACGTGACCATAGTTGGACAGGAGGATGGAGCTAGTGCTGTAAATGCTAATTTTGACCAGCTAAAGATGTGCCTACGTGAAAAAATAAGCAGCCGACTCCTGATAAGCTTTCTCAGCGGTGCTGGTTAAATGTAGACAAAGCAGCGGATACGAGTAGCCTCTGTCCTGATTGACAGGCCGCCATGGTAGAGTCTTCCCAATCAGCTTGTAGCCCCGCCCTAAAGCCTCCCCTGCTTCCTAGTCTCTGTTTCTCCGAATGGGACCATAATTTACTAAATGAACATCATGCTGTGTTGAAGAAGACTTGAAACTAGCGACTGAGACCATAAACTCATCAGGAAAGTGTTTACTGAGGGAATAAATCAGCTGACAAGTACAAACATTTTCTCAGAGACTTCTAGACAATCACACTTCTTTTAAAGGAGTCGCCCCCTGCTGGCTGCTAGAGAGGACGCAGGTTTAAGTCGCCCCCTGCTGGCTGCTAGAGAGAACGCAGGTTTAAGTCGCCCCCTGCTGGCTGTTAGAGAGGACGCAGGTTTAAGTCGCCCCCTGCTGGCTGTTAGAGAGGACGCAGGTTTAAGTCGCCCCCTGCTGGCTGCTAGAGAGGACGCAGGTTTAAGTCGCCCCCTGCTGGCTGCTAGAGAGGACGCAGGTTTAAGTCGCCCCCTGCTGGCTGTTAGAGAGGACGCAGGTTTAAGTCGCCCCCTGCTGGCTGCTAGAGAGGACGCAGGTTTGAGTCGCCCCCTGCTGGCTGCTGGAGAGGACGCAGGTTTAAGTCGCCCCCTGCTGGCTGCTAGAGAGGACGCAGGTTTAAGTCGCCCCTGCTGGCTGCTAGAGAGGACGCAGGTTTAAGTCGCCCCCTGCTGGCTGTTAGAGAGGACGCAGGTTTAAGTCGCCCCCTGCTGGCTGCTAGAGAGGACGCAGGTTTAAGTCGCCCCCTGCTGGCTGTTAGAGAGGACGCAGGTTTAAGTCGCCCCCTGCTGGCTGTTAGAGAGGACGCAGGTTTAAGTCGCCCCCTGCTGGCTGTTAGAGAGGACGCAGGTTTAAGTCGCCCCCTGCTGGCTGTTAGAGAGGACGCAGGTTTAAGTCGCCCCCTGCTGGCTGTTAGAGAGGACGCAGGTTTAAGTCGCCCCTGCTGGCTGCTAGAGAGGACGCAGGTTTAAGGCGCCCCCTGCTGGCTGCTAGAGAGGACGCAGGTTTAAGTCGCCCCCTGCTGGCTGTTAGAGAGGACGCAGGTTTAAGTCGCCCCCTGCTGGCTGCTGGAGAGGACGCAGGTTTAAGTCGCCCCCTGCTGGCTGCTAGAGAGGACGCAGGTTTAAGTCGCCCCCTGCTGGCTGCTAGAGAGGACGCAGGTTTAAGTCGCCCCCTGCTGGCTGCTAGAGAGGACGCAGGTTTAAGTCGCCCCCTGCTGGCTGCTGGAGAGGACGCAGGTTTAAGGCGCCCCCTGCTGGCTGCTGGAGAGGACGCAGGTTTAAGGCGCATCAGCACTGCAGACCTGGAGGTTCCTGCTTGACTTCAACACTGAAACCGGGTTTGCTGTACTTTCTCCCATACTGGATATTGAAGGATAACCACTGTACTTTTTTAAACCTGGGCCCTGTTTTCACATATGTTGATGTTGAAATGACTTGTAGGCCAGAGACACTCACAAGTCTCTGAGCTAGAGTCCAAGTCAAGTCTCAAGTCTCTCCTGGTTATAATGAATGTTGGATCAGCTGCTGCGTTCAATCCAGGCTGCTTATAAAACTGCAGAGCTAGAAGAGATTCTGTAACTGTGACCTTCTTTTTCACTTACAGAGCACAACCATGTAGCCTAATGTAGAATGTGTCTACAACTACAACACAGCTTATTAACTACTGTAAGTCAACACCAACCGCTGACTCTCAAACCCAGGGTAACGTTACAACCCAATTAAACTGTAACGTTACATGATCAACAATAAACCTGTAACCTGTTTGCAGTTCACTTTAATAATTAACGTGATGGCAGCCAGCGGGACGTAAATGATTACGTTAATCGAACACCACAACGAACGACAGTCGGAGTTAACCTCTCCATCTCTGGCGAAGGCACAAAAAGTGCAGTAGATGCTTCAGTGGCAGCAGCGTATTCCTTCAGGGTAATTGCACCCGTCAAAATGGCATCCACAAAAAGTGCTTTTTTCTGCCACCGACAGGCAACAAGACTTTGTTTACTAATGCTACTCCAACACAACAAACTCTTCTCTTATGTTTTTGAGTACATAAAGACGTTATTTCCTAAATCTTGGCTGAATTTATAGCTGATTTCGATAATGTAGAGGAGTCATTTGAATTCTATGACTGACTCTTAGGAGATTTCAGAGCAAGTCGTCCGTAGGGATCCTTTCCATGATGTTGTCAGACACCTGAGCTCTTTCTCAGTCTGCGATCTTGTCTGTTCTTGTCGTCATCAGTCGCAGCCAAAGTACTGTTCCAATTCAAAAGTCCGCATCCAGCCAGGTACAGTCAAACACCCGGATGTGTTCTCGCCCGTTTTATCAAGCCTGTATCGGTGGTGAC